TCTGTGGGGGGGGGGGGGGGATTTCAGTGTTAGTATTGGCTTGCTAGTAAATTTTTCACAAACAATTAACTTGAGCCAAGATTTTTGTTGTGGACAGAGGGGGGGAGGGTTTGAACCCCTGTCAAGTTTTAAGCAGGGTTTATCATTATTGTCAGGACAGGATGTGATGGAAAATCTCTTCCGTGAGAACATAAACCGCAATACGACTCTTTCAGTACAATGGAGAAGTGTCAGAGCCTTTGTCATGTACTCCTGTCCTCGCGATGACGGATCCCCTCATTTCATTTCCTGACCCCACTGTCACAGGTTTAGGAAGAGAGGCGAAATCTCCCAACATCATGGAGTCAGGGACTGTTAAAAATGTTACATTTTACGGTCATCTCCAAACTTAACCAAAGCTAGAAAAAACTAGAGTTAGGCTTCAAATATAGATTTACAATAAGTTTATTGGCTTTAGGAGTTAAAGGGGGAATTGCAACGCTATTATTGTAGTGTTTAATGTACAGCAATGTCTTATAATTCATGTTTTTACATGCCTGCGCTTTCATATTTTTGTTATAGCACTAAATACACAGATTAATTAGTGGGATATCTCATTGACCCTCTCTTACTTAACAACTGTTCAAATAAGATATTAGCCAGACAGGAAGCTCCCTGTGTTTAATAGGTCTTCCGACTCCTAGATTTACATTGCACGAAGGAGCAATGTGATGCACTGTGAAGCAAGCAGGCAAGTATGTAATGAGCAAATAAGACTGCCTCCATGTTTATATAGCATTATAAATCATGTACAAAAACAAGCAATTACACAGATCAAGAAGATCCATTTGACATGTATATCAACATATGTAATATTTTAAACATTCACTAGCTAAGTGATTTAGATATCTTAATATATCTAAACACTCTAATATGTACTCCATTTATGGTTAAACCTACACTCTAAGCATACATAGCTGTAATACATATATGAGCTGCTTTACCTGCCAAAGGTTTTGTATTTCTGTCTATCCTATCCTGATATTTACACAGCACAGACAACCTGGTGACCTGACTTGGGGTTAAGCAATATGGCTAGTTCATGTGCCAGATGCCAGCCTAACGAAGAAGCAGCAACAGATTGATTAGGTCATCCCTATGCCCACTCTGCTCTCTCCTTTTAGCATATTCTTCGTCAGCACATTAGCATGAAGCATACCTGATTGGCTTCCAGTGCTGCCCCTCCATCTCCCAGTCTGTGCTTCTGTATCAGGGATTAAAAAATGCTGAAATCAAGTCAAAAGTACTTACACTAGCTAAATTTAAAAAAAAAAAGCATTTCATGATTTAAAAAATCCTGGACATAACTGTATTAATTGGTCTTTTTAAATGTGCCTGGCGTTTAGTATTAAGGTGAGGGGTTAGGTTAAATATAAAGGTTGATTTATGTTAAGAAATGGGTTAAAGGGTTAGGTTTAGTTTTACAACAAACTAACGAAACACTAACAGTCTTGAGCCCCATAGATAACTAAATCAAGTGCTATGTGGCCAACCTTAATTGGCTGCCTATCACTGCAACAATGGATAAGTATATAACACTTTTGTTCAGGTTTTCTGTACAACATCTGGCAATGAGGCATAACAGTAGATAAAAAGGCAAAGTCAAATAATGGAGTGGAGTTCCTGGTGCCTTTCTTGGATTCCACATCCACCTGGTGTGTAATTTTACTCTGATCTTCTTGGACCTATTTAGCTACAGATTGCATTTTTATTAGTTTGCATATTCTGCTACATCATACTTTGCTTTCGCTTCCCTAGGTATCAACCATTTCAGTCAAGTATACTTTGCTCTGTCACTCTCTGCTCACGATCAATACGTTTTAGGCGAGAACTACTCCAGAAATAGAGTAAGCCTTTGTCACTTTTGTAATGTTCAAAAAGTATATAAAGAACATGAATATGGCAAAAGATTGCTCGAGGATCCCTCTTTTTGCTCAACACACAATGGCCTCCTCTAGAAATGCTTATTTACCACAAACGTTTCTCGGACATTCAAGTCAAGTTGCCTGTCCCTTGGATCTTGTGATGATCTCAATGTCCAAGGGTACTTTCAGATCTAAACAGACGCCTCTGCCTGACAATCCCAGGAGAAGTTGACCAGCCAGGCTGCATTTCCCTGGACAGTCACTGCTCAATGCTTAAAAGGAGAACTATGAGATGAGTGATTTCCACTCACCTCATAGTTCTAGCCGACCTGTGACAATGAGACTGTCACAGGTCGGCTCAGTAGATCGGGAGGTGAGCGAACACATAGCAGTAGCTCGCGGTATACTGAGCTTAGGGTAATGGGAGGACGCTAGTTTGTGTCCTCCCGTTACCCTAAGGAGAACTATGGGGAAAAACAGTGACCCCATAGTTCTCCTTTAAATAAGCATGCTTAGTCAATAGGTGATAACACATTTATGAACAAATTTATAGAGGAACAGGTCATTTGGTGGTTGGCTTGTATATGCATAATTTACCTTCCATCTAATTTCTACAGCCTGCTTCAAGCTCTCTCAGCTCTTAACATTTATCATTACCCAACATTTTTTAAACAATCCTGTGTTTAAAGAAATATGTGTTTAAAGAAATATGTGTTTAAAGAAATATGTGTTTAAAGAAATATGGGGCCGCCATTGCTGTCCTTCTGCAAATGCATCCATTTATCCATTATGGCTACCCTTTGGTTTTAATGCCTGGAACAAAGAGGCAGATCAGGAGAGTCAGAGTAAATTTAGGACTGCATACAAGTTTCAGGTTAGTGTTTCAAAGTATTCAGGCAAAGAGATTATGATGATAATTAGCATTTCCTGAGTGTGAGGTCAGCAATGGCCGCCTCACCTTTTCCTTTTCAAAGGCTTCCTTTCAAGGGACTCTGTTGTGAGGCAAAGCATCAATGCGAAAATACCTCTGAAGGAATCAGGCATTCCCCGATTTATGTGGGCAGTAAAACTAAACTAATACACTTAAAAGTGGACCTTTACCCCCTTTCACTATAAATCATATCAACATGCAGCTCTGCATGCGGATATAAAATCATCTTACATTCATTATTTAAACAACTGTTTTTCATTTACTTACAAATAGAGTTCATCCACTTCGTGGTTCTCTTTGGCACCATGATGTAATGTTCCCAAGCGTTGCAACCTGGGAAGGTACATCAGCAGAGCATTGCTGGGAAATCTCCTCTATAATCTCACGAGATCTCAAGGAAAGGCATTTTCCTCCCCTGAGATGCGCATGGTCACATGTCTAGTCACATGTGCCAGAGAAGTAAAGGGAGATATATTAACCTGCCCTTAGTAAAAAGAAATGGCCACTGCCAGAAGACTGGAGAAGAAAAGAGAAATAAGGTATGTAAAGAATAAAAAGGCGACAATTATCTGTTTGTAGATTGTCATTACTAAACATTTCTAAAGGTGTCTTTGTTGTTATTTTAAATATAAGGGTAGTTCCTCTTTAATGGGTGGGTGGGTGGAGTGGAGAAAAATTAAAGCAATCTGCAGTTCTCTGCAACTCCAATAACCCTTTACTTGTTCCTTTGCAATGCATGCAGTAGACTGGTGTTTGAATGTATGCACATGTAGAAGGATGCATTCGCTTATACAACTCAGTGAAATGCTGTGTTTGGAAGACATTTGTAGACAGCTTAACCTGCCGTCAGAAATCTGAATTACAAACCCTTCGAGATCTCAATAGTGAGTGCTCTGAAGAGATAGCAGAAGCAAGGAAAAGGAAAAAAGGTTATTTCTGTAAAAATTTGAACAAAATGTGTCCAACATATTAGGCACTATCTTATGACAACCCGTTTACATTACATTGGCTGTCGGAGAAATTGTATTAGTGGGGTTAGCATGACAGCCTGAGTAAGAGATATAAAATTCAAGTCAGTCCGATTTTGAAGTTTCACACAGAAATTACCCCACAGTACCTACAGTGTTTGAAGTCAGGGACAGCTGGCTTTAAAACTACTATAATGCTTAGTATGCACATGTAATTAGCTGGATGTTTAGAGTCTGGCCATATATATTCATTTTCATGAACATTCCTGTTTCCTGAGCAAATGACCTACCATCTGAGTCCAATATGTCCTTACCTGTCATGCTTGTTTTCCTGTGCTGCTCTCAGCAGTTCCTGAATGTTCTTTGTGATTTGCTCAGTTTTCCTTATGACATCTTCAGTGCTAGGGAGAGTGGCACTAGCATCACCAGCAGGATCTTCCATCTCAGGAATGGAGCCTTCTCCATGCCATGGTATACTTCGCTGCCTTCCTTTTCTACTTGAACTGCACAAAAAGTAGAAATTCATGTTACTATACTGCTATACAATTAATGTCTAATGACTATGGTTTGCATCATGACCCCAATAGGTATCTTGCTAATTAATGCCACTTCCCCCTCAGGGAAAAAGTTTATTACAACCACCACCCTTAGAAATAAAAACTGTAGACATGAAGTACTTGGCTTGTAGTAATTCCAAACTCTTTTGGTGCTGGCTAATGCTGATCAGTGGTAATGTGCTGGTCACTGCTGTAGGGTCTGGGGGAACGGATATTCTGAACAGAGGCTCCTTCTAAACACGGACCTTTCATTTTTGCAGAGACTAATGACTGAAATGAGTATTGGTCATATAACCAGAGCTGTGTGCATAGCCAAAAGGTGAAATTACATTTTCTAATTTTTTTGAATTCTTTGTCATCTTTTACAGTCACTTATTTGGTTTTGGGTACTAAGGTACAAGAGCCAACTATTTTTTATATACTTAGATTATACCTTCACTGGCCGCTTTATTATTATTAGGTACAACTCTTCAACTGCTCGTAAACACAAATATCTAAATCAGCTAATCACTTGGCAGTAAGTCAATACATTTAGGCATGTAGACATGGTCAAGATGGTCTGCTGATGTTCAAACCGAGCATCAGAATGGGAAAGAAAGGTGATTTAGGTGACTTTGTGTGATTTGAGCATTTCAGCAACTGCTGATCTACTGGGATTTTCATACACAACCATCTCTCGGGTTTACAGACAATGGTCTGAAAAAGAGAAAATATCCAGGGAGCGGCAGCTCTCTGGGCAAGAATAACTTGTTGATGCCAGAGGTCAGAGGGGAATGGCCAGACTGGTTCAAGCTGATAGAAAGGCAACAGTAACTCAAATAACCACTCGTTACATCCTAGGTATGCAGAATACCATCTCTGAACACACAACACATTGAACCTTGAAGCAGATGGGCCTCAGCCACAGAAGACCATATCGAGTGCCACTTCTGTCAGCTAAGAAGAGGAAACGGAGGCTACAGTTTCCAAAGGCTCACCAAAAGTGTAAAATAGAAGACTGGAAAAACGTTGCCTGGTCTGATGTCTCCATTTCTGTTGCGACATTCGGATGGTCGGGTCAGACCGTCCTCAGGCTGGTCTCAGCAGACGTAGTCTGCGTTCCTGACACCTGCCTTGTATCAACGGCTCAGGCTGGTGGAGCTCCACATCATGGATGTGCAGCCGACAAACCTGCACCAACTGGGTGATGCTATCATGTCAGTATGGACCAAACTCTCTTAGGAATGTTTCCATCACCTATTTGAATCTATGCCACGAAGAATTAAAGCAGTTCTGAAGACCGAAGGGGTCCAACCCAGTACTAGAAAGGTGTACCTAATAAAGTGACCAGTGAGTGTATATCCCTCTGGCACCTCTTTCTGATATTTTGGAGTTAAGAATATTTAATAAATCTTGTTAATCTGGCTACTTTGAGTTCTATTTTTGACAAGCACTGCATATAGAGCTAACAAGTGATGCTGCGCCACACCCCCATTACCAAACAAAAAAACCCATAAAATGTATTTATTGGGTCTTTAAAAAGGTGCTATAACACAGCTACTGATCACTTTTATCACACCTCATAAACCCACATATTGCATAGTTTGCTCAGTAGAATACACCTCCCAGAACCATTTAGGTTTGTTTAATGTAAAAAAAATGTTTTCAATATATCAAAGTTTATCAGATATGAAGACATGATGAATGGTCTGATCTTCAGCACGTTTCGCATACACTTCTTCAGAAAGAAATGGAGGCGGTTTAAAAGTAGCGCATTTATTGCATATGCAATACACGCACCAAAACAATCTGGTATAGAATGGTAGGTAGAGGAGTAGATTATCTGTCAAAGAAGAGTGATGCCCCCTATCCATGTATTCTCAGCCAACTACTTAATGTGGATCTCATCCATGCTGTACTCTACTGCGTGCGGAGTAGATATTTCAACTCTGTGCTCCTCTACTAGTAACCCCCGAACACTGTGGTATCAAACTACAAAAGTGGCATCATTTCTTCACATCTGAGGAACTTTGATACGTTGAAAAAAAGGTCTCATTTTTCTTGAACAATCTTGAGTCGTTCTGGGAGGTGTATTCTACTGAGCAAACTATGCAATGTTTATGAGGAAACACATTTTTACATTGTGTATATATTGTTGGTGTTTGTTTTTATTCAATAGATTTTATACACATGTATAAATACACTGATATGATTTTATCAAAAGTGATAAGCGGCTGTGTTATTGCACATTTAAAGCCCCAATAAATACATTTATGTTTTTGTTCAATTCGATTTTTGCTACATTTATTTATTTTGGATCTATTGTTGTGATATGTTGGTACATATTGACATATCCTGTTAAAGTTTGTAATATTGGTTTATGTATTTTGAATATCAGATTAGATTTTGTATTAGTTTTTACATTAGATAATGGAGGAACACTTTTTTCTCAGCCTTAAGGCAACCCTTTCAAAAAAGCAAAACCACTTGCAGCATCAAGTCTGCACAAGTCAAAACAGATGATCTAGTCAGTTTAGCAGTCCTGACAGAAGGTTGCTTTTCATTTTCCATGTTCAGCAGCAGCTGAAAGGCTACCATAAGCAATATCAACTGCAGCTGAGAACCATATGTGTAGTTCACAATGCACAGATGTACAAGAACATGGAAAGGGAAAGCAAGACGTTGGAATAAATAACATTTTGAACTTACCTTGTTTCTTCAAGTTCTGTATCATGGACAGTATTATCATAGTCACTTTCTGGCACACACGACTGTTTTTCTACCTTTGACCCCTAAAGCAAGTAGACATTTGTCTTTACATTTGTACACATCTCTTTTGTGAGCAATTCATGAGTTACAACATTATAGAATCACAAAAAAATAACAGTAGACAATAGTAACAGTCAATCAATGACAGCAACTTGATGGCACTGCTCACGTATCTAAAAGCTAATGAAATGGTGGGCTAAAGATTAGACTGATGTTTTTAGATTTATAACACATGCAGGTAATTAGGTAATTAAACTAATGGTGATTAAGGAAATACAGCCAATAATAAATATTGACAGACTGAGGCCCTTTCACATTCCGATAAGCGGAAAAGAAGTGATCACTATTTTAAATACGTTTAAGTTGCTAGATGATCGGTTCTGTCAAAAGAGCTACACCCTTACTTCATTTACCTTCCATTCAGGAAAAAATAAAAATAACACTGTACTGCCATTCCATAACTGTTCTAAAACACGGACAGGCCTTACATAATAAAGATACACTTACCTTCATTTCATTTCCCCCCCCCCTTTTTTAGTTCTTCAGACTGGCTGTCAGGCAGCAGACCGGAGAGCTACTAACTCTCATTAGCGAGTGATCTGACATCACTGGCAATACCAATGACTAGACCATATACAGGGGAGTAGCCAGACTCCACCTCTGGATATCAAGTTTCGGATAAGTTTGACTGTTGATTCTCACAGTGCTGTATAGTTGTGGAAGCAAATTTCGTTTTTTTAAATTATTATTACCCTGGTTTCAGGATTAGTTACCCAAATGTAGTAGCATTTCTTGCTACAGTGATAAATGTGTCGCACATACCTGCCAAGGCTTACAAGTGTATGTGTCGCAAGTACAAACAAAAACTGTCATACAGACTTCACTAAATGAGAGGCAGTCTGATTTGCTTGTAATTTTGTGGCTAATGTGCCTGATTAATGTTCCCCACTGTGAAGCAATTCAACCTCAATGATGACAAGAAAAAAACAGTGAAGTTATTAAAGTCAGGTCTCGGCGCTTTGCTTCCCCTTAACACCTGCTGTGTGCTATCAGAGATTACATGGCTGGCTGGGCAGAAGCAGCAGAATGTAGAATTCTTTAGCTATAAACTTTGAAGAGGAATTACTTCACGGCTACAGAGACCAGTGAGGGCTTGCTTTAAAGTTAATTTACTGCTTGTTAGGAATATGGAAATATCTTCATGTCCATAGCCTGGCCACAGCTGTGCTTTAGGGGGGCTTTCGGTATCTTCACTTGTTGTTCATATTTCTTCATGCAGAAGGAGAAAAAGGCAGAATGTGATGTTAATTGGTAGGTAGAAGGTCATCCCTAAGGTCTAAGAACTGTGATTTGGACTCTAGATGAACAGGATTTTTCACAATTTTTCACAATTTTCTAGTCATTACTGGGGAATATCTATGAGTAATTTTGTCAAAATTCCATTTTTAAATGGAAAAATAAGTTGAATGCATATCAATTGGCCGAGAGTGAATCATGCCATTTACTGCTATTGTCTCTCAAATTTAGAAACCAGCATCCACATAATTAAGCAAACAAAGCAAGTAAGGCATGTTCATAACTCCACACCCTGTTTCTGTGGCATAGCATGATTTAATATACAACAGAATGAGAATGAGTGAATACTGGACTCCTTGTGGACTTTGGACACATGGACCTCTCTTAACCAGTCTTTCGCCCCATTAAAAAACAAAAAATGGGGAAAGTGGGGTCAAAACACCATGAAGAATATAACAGCACATGAACCAACAGCTCTCCGTGTAATTTCAGGGTTGCTGTTAAAACTGTTGTCAAGCAGAATAAAGCATGAAGAGAATCATTCATTCGTTTTCCATGATGTTCTGCTCCACAGAACATCTTTGACCCATCTCTAAAGCGCTGTGCAAACTGTTGGCGGTTTATATAAATCCTGCATATTAATAATCTCTATCCTTTCTTTGCCAAAAGTCAGATGAGAATAAAAGATAGCAGGATGCATTTAGTCTTATACCAAACAAGGGTTCCTAAATAGAATATCAAAAATGTGATTATGAAACAGATTCTTCAACCTGGATGGCTTAATTCCATACTTTTCTACATATTTTCAGCTGCTGACTACATTGATTGCGGGAGAAAAAAAGTTTCCAACTCAGTTTGAGTGATTATGTTCATAGTTTTCACACAATATAACATCAGCAGTGTTTGAATGCATAAACCAAGTTGTCCATTGCAAGTGAATGAGTGGAGTCAAGACTTTCTCATGTGAAGTTTGGTTATACAGATCATCGTGCTGCTAGCATTACATGGCTGTGGAGTGTGGATAGGTAGCAGTGAATGAGGTTACAATGAGGCATTATTGCTTCATGCAGAGAAAAAGAGGTCTGTTAGCAAAAATGGCAAAAAGGACAGATGTAGAGCTCTCTTGGAGAAAGTCAAGGTCTCCAAGGAGCAGAGCTAACTTGGAAGGTACTTAACCCTTCGCGTGCTTTCATCTCTTGACCAGGAAAGCGTGGAGGGGAAGGAAGGCAGGGATGAAGAGGAGGTCACAAAAGCACTCCTCCCAATCTGAAGGGAAAAAGAAAAACACTCGAGACACCCAAAAACAAACTTCAATCAAAACACTTTGAGAAGATGGATGAGATATTTTCACCGTTATGAATGCAGGTAAATAATAAACTCACTACTTCAATATTAGACTTCGTTCTCCTTGTTTTAATGTATTTACAATTACATGCTTCAAGAAGACAAAAGTTATTTAGGGAATTCATAATTAACCTTGCCTGAAAATATTCAGCGTAAATCAGCCAGCATAGATAAACGTGCTCCAGTCTCATGTCAGAACATTTGCATTTAATGATGAAGTGTCAGGTGCAAAGAGAAAAACTAACCCTTTACAACCCATAAGATTATTGTTGTTTGTATGATTAAACCAGCTGCACTGTAACTTCTGTAACCTATTGCTAGTGTTTCAATAGAGTGAATATTTTTTTTTTAAATTTCAACCTGACAAGCAGCAAGATTTCTTAAGCTGCTAAAGAAAAAAATATATATAACCCAATTTGTTGAATTTACAGTAGTATGAAGAAGATGCAGTGGTGTACGTTGATTATAATGTATTGGCAGAAAATTTCAAATTAACAGCCATTGGCTACTTGGCATCCAAAAAGCTCAACAAAAGTTTTTCTAATGTAAGGAATAAAAACACATTAGCATCATGATGTACCCAACTGTTATATAGACTTTCTTTTCAAATTTCAGGAATCAGATCTATATAGATTTCAGTAAAAAAAAAAAAGAAATGGGGGCTTAATGTGCAGAACATGCCACCACAGGGCAAAACGTAGGTCTGCTACAGTGCTAAACAGGTAATGTATAAACCTTGGTTTATTTGCCCACTATGGTTACAGCTAGCACTAAAAAAAAAAAAAAAAGAAAAATTCACATTTGCTGATACTACATAATAGCGTAGCTGGTATGGTATAAAAGACAAAGTTAATGCTGATTTGTGAACACCTGATTCAATTGGAGTGCTCCTAATAAGGGGATTTTAGACCTCTCTCGTACTTCTCATAGGATGCAGGTTTATTAAAAGGTTTCCTTAGGTTGTGTAAGATGTTTGGTTATTTTAAGGAAGATTAAGAACATTTCATGTGAACGCCAAGAACCTTGTAATCCAAGTATGGATTCGATATGCACGAAACCCCACCAGAAGATTATAAAACAGGATGCAATCTTTAAAAAAAAACCGCAGCAAACCATCTTAGGATGCACAACATAGTTGATGGTAAATTGATCATAGCTGCTTTGATCAAAATGAACACAAGTTTTAAAAACTATAAAAGGCAAAAAAGGGATAGCACAATTGCTAGTTGGAACAGCAAAGCATGCAAAAGAGTGGGGGAAGCACTCTGTTTACTTACATGTGGTGGAAAAGGCTGTAGTCGTTTAATGCCCTCTTCTGGATATGAAACCTCCCCCAGTGGGAGGTATGGTTTCTGAGCTGATCCAGTCTCATACATAGACATGGGTCTACTACCTCGTCCTGAAGGCCGCCTCTTTTGGGAAGGTGGGTTGGTGAGGTCTGCAAATTCTGACCCAGCAGGGACCTGATATAGATTTGTTGTGGCCTGTCTCCTGAGGTTGGTGTTTTCACATTGCAGTGTTTGGAGCTGAAAAACATGTTCACCAGTGGGACTTTGCAATTTGCTTTATAGTAGAAATGTAGGGTGATTAGGTGGACAAACAGCTCTTCTAATTAATCAAATGTAAACATAGAACTCTGTACATGCTGGAATTTACTGTAGCTAGTACCGCCCACTAAAAAACAAAAACAAATTCCAGTGTAAATGGAATAAGATGATCAACATTTCTGGTCAAATATGCAAATCAACTGGTACATAAAGCTATATATGTGTAGTATGTTGATTTACATATTTGACCAGAAATGTTGATCATCATCTTATTCCATTTACACTGGAATTAGTTTTGTTTTTTAGTGGGAGGTACTAGCTACAGTATGCTATTGCTATTAATGCCGCCAGTCCTCATCTCCGATTGGTTGCCATTTTGTCTTTTCTTTTGGATAAGTAAAATAAGCACATCCTATAATATTCCCTATATGATGCCAAATGTCCTTGTCATAATAAGTCAAAACTATTTAGCTAGAACTCACTGTTTTACCACCAGACGTCAGCAGTGATGCCAAGAAAGAAAAAATGAAGCAGCAAAGCAAAGCAAGGAGGAGCAATGCAGTAAACAAATAATAATCATCCAAACAAATCCAGAAAAATATGTTTAAATAGATTTTATTTTTGATTTCTTACAAAATATGTACATAAATGACAAATTATATCAAATATCTATCCCAATTTACAGAAAACCTTAAAAGAAGTGGACTGTCTGGTGGTACTGCAGTGTTATGAATAACACCATTTTCCCACTATATTGCTATGCAGATTCTCAGCTGACAGTGCTTAAGATTTACACTTTAAGCACTATGGCTAGCAAAAACGTTACCCTAAAGCAGCATATAAATTCCTTACAAACAGCAGAGATTGATGTAGGCCAAGATAACAAAAAAAAATAATTGTTCAATGCCTTGCAAAAAGTATACAGACTTTAGACATTCTCCTATTTACTGAATGTGAAAAATTATACTGAATTGCCGTTTGGTAAAACCCTGCTTGATGTGACTCTGTTAAGGGAAAAATACAACTTAACTAAGCTTGCATATATCATTTGTCCCACATATTTTGTGGAGCATTCTTTTGCATATATAATTTGTCTCACACATTATTTTGTGGAGCAGTCTTTTAAGTATGTATATACTAGATAGCACGCTGGGAGAGATCTTGGCTTAATCTTCTACGTAGTTTTGCTCCAGGTTGAGAATCTGTGGCAATACTTGAAAACTGCAAGCAAGCATTTATCAATGAACTTGAAGAAATTGGAGCAAATCTGACTTGAAGCAATGGCCAAAATCGTTCCAAAATCAACGCAGAGCTGCTTCCATACTTGCCTTAAAAGACATAGTACTATTAGATCTAACACACGGGCTTCAGCTAGGATAAGAACAGTATGAACATCAAATTTTCCACATGCTTTTGCAACGTATTTGGCAAGCAGTTTTCTTGAAGCCTTTAAAAGCACACTTCAGCTCCAGTTTGGGAAAGTTAAACTCAGATCTTATCGGGAGTGCTGACTGTCAAACAAGATTCAAGTTCTGCTGAAGTTCACTGAAGCCCGTTAGCAGCTTGTTTAAAGAGGCATTCAGCAAACTCATTAAGATCTGTGTTTAACATTCCCAAACTGGAGCTGAACAGTGCTTTAAAAGCTTCACCAAAAGCTTGCCAAAAGCATTGAAAATGCTCTGTAAGGCTTGCCGTTCATACCGCACTTATACAAGCTGAAGACTGTGTGAACAAGGCATAAATGCTGCAAATAGTAGCCCTGCAACATATGCATGCATGCATGCATACCTCCCCCAACTGTCCCTCATTTGGAGGGACTGCCCCTCATTTAAAACCCAACTTCCTCCGTTGTCCCTCTGTTTTTGTCTGATGTAGAAGGTTCTAATTAACTACCAGAAGTCTTATTCTGCACTAAAATCTTTAACTTATCCCTTGATTATTTTGCTGATCTCTTGAATGTCTTGTCTGCTATATCAAAAAGCCAGTAAAAGGATATCTAATGAGGGGGGAAAAAAACAATTCTGGGTTTAACCAATCATTTTTGGAATATAGATTCTTAATGGTTGACATAAATGGGGATGTGGCAGTGGTGTATCTATTGCCTAAATACACTGTGTTGGAAGGTGTCCCTCTTTCTCAGTTTTGTCCCATTCAACTTGAAACCAAAATAATGTTTGTTTCTTTCTATAGTGAAATTATAAGCAATTAAATTATTATTTTCTTTTTAATGCTTACACTATACGCTAAGGGCTAATTGGCACGGGCATAAAGGTTTGTGTATCCTAAGAAAAAAAAATATTTTTCTGCGCCCAGGAGCCACAGGTGTTGTATACAGCCTGCTTGTATCAATGACAGGCTGTGCCTATCAATGACAGGCTATATGCATACCTTTATGCAAATGTATGCTTGAAGCAGAATTTGCCAGTGTACAGCCACATCCCGTCAATGTGTACAGATAGGTTGTACGCCACATCTGTGTCTCCTGGACACAGAGATCGGGACTTTTTTCTACAGTGCATGGACTTCTGTGCCCATGTGAATGAGCCCTAAAACGAATGGACAAAATGAATGAGAGCACACTTAAAAAAAAAAAATTATTACCATGATTAGCCACTTCAGGACCACAATACATATAAAAAGACGAGGTCCTGCAGTCCTGAAGTGGGTATACCAAGGTCATCTTGGTATCCTTCTTTGCAGGCATTGACTTAAAAGTGTACAAGCCACCCAATATGCAGCTTCAAAGTGGGCCCCCCTCACTTTACACTGCTGGCTATACCGGATTTGCCCCCTCCCCAGGACTCAATGTAAAATCTAAATTGATGAGTGGTAAAAGTTTTTAAAGTGTCACCTATGGGCAATTTTTGATATTGTAGATTTTTTTTCTTTTGTGAACGCGCAGTTTTAAGGCTTGGCAAGTTTGGTAATCATTTAACCTACACAACCCCATCTTTTATATTTTACCAAAAAATTGGGCATTTTTTTCCCCCACAGGGCCTGCTTTCAGAAAATATATAAAATTGTTTGGGGGTTAGAAGCAGTTTTCTAGCTAAAAATTCAGACTTTAACGTGTGCGCAAAAATTAAGAAAATTGGATACAAAGTGGTTAAAAAAATAAATCTGGTACATTAAAAAAAATGGATGACAAGCAAGGAGATGGAGTTAATAAGGGCTATTTAAAACAATATTAAATAGGAAATACCTGTTAAAAATGATATATAATATATATATATAAATACATTTGTGGATTTCTTTAGCAATGCTTGTGAAAATGACAGGCACACTGTAGTTAGTTGAGAGCTGCAACTAGCTACAAAATATCAGTCTTTAAAAATCAAACAAGGGTTGTCAAATTGACAAGCAGTTCCTGGCAGCTACAAGCATGGGCTCAGTGTAGGATCGGATATTCAGTAAAATGGGAGAATGAGTCTACGGTATACTTTTACAAGGATATGTATATACAAATTACCAGCCATATCTACTACTGAGTCCTTTAGAAAAATAAATGATAAAAACTTTAAATAATAAAAAAAAAAGCATACAGGCCATTTTAAAGAACCAACAAGCTTAAAAATACTACTTGACCTATACAAAAGAGCAATTTCTAACATTGACAAATATTTCATGCCAGATGCAGAAAACATAGATCATGGGGAAATCTTTTTTTTCTGGCGAACACCATTTTCAGCAAGTACAGGAAAACACCTGTAGATCTTGTCACTTCCTGTGAGAGAAACTGGAAGCAAAAACAATATTTTTTTGTACAAACTACTAAATCCATCACACTCCACATATTGGAGATGAACATCAGCAGACTTTTTTAAAGTCCAGCATGGGTGGCAACCATAGCCCTCTCCATGGGTATAGTGGAGGAGTAAGTGCAGCCATCCAGGGACGGGAAAGTGTGTTATTCATAGGATTACCAAATGGAAAAAGGGAAAAAAAGACAAATAATGCAGGAGGTGTCAAGCTGCAATATATTAGTACGTTTGTTTTTTTGTGGGCCGGGGGGGTTGGTGGATTAACCTAGGAAGGAGCAAATCTAATTCAGATGCAATTAACATGTTTAAAAAAAATGGTCTGCTTCCATCATTCTTCTGCAGTATAACGCGTCTTGAATATTTCATGCAAGCTATATTTTTTGTGCAATTAAAGATTAGGCAGGCACCTACTGAAATGAAAAGCACAAAATGCAAGCATCAAATGTTTCTATTTATATATTGGAACTATGGAATATCTCTATTCTTTAATGTTTTTGCTCCCAATACACACAGTAGTGAAAACCCTCTTGAAGGTGTCTGTAAAGTTTTTTGATTTAGATACAGTAGTGAGGAGTTAGAACATCTGTCAGGTTTTTATTGCTGTCCAGTGTTCCCACGAGTGAGATTGACTCCCTCTATTTGTCCAGTTGACCACTGTCACCAGGAGTGACGGTAAGGCACTATCCACAATTTTGAGTTGTTACCAGAAAAGAAATTAAGCGGAACATTATCAATGGGGGCACTTCCAGTGAGAATAAATCCTCTCCAAAGTAAGAGAAATATCTAAGGCGGGATTTCTCTTACTTTGGAGAGATTTACTCTAATTTACAGTTATGTCAAAAGGACAGAAAGTAAAAGGGAAATTTCCGCAAAGGGACACCTATAGCAAAAGAAAAACACAACATAATTTACTCAATCCCCCCAAAAAGATGGCTTTAGATATAATGGTGCTAGTAATAGCTCTTTGAATAATGTTTTATGCTTACTGGTTCTTGTAATAACAAATTGGGCCTTTGCCCATAAAAGTATCTGAACAAGATATTGCTTCTTTTTACTTAAAAGAACTTCCAAACATTTTTAAAAGTGAAAAAATAAGGTAGTTTGTGAAAAGAATGACCATAGCTATGACATCATTCAGCATTGTATAAAATAAACTCCTAAATGATCTCGTAGTTTTCTAGTTGTTTTGCTTTTCTTGGTTCTCCTCTTCCATCCACAGATAACTTAGAGATATAACCTTTCTCACTATCATAGTCAGTCTGAATTGTGCTAAACTTAACCACCAATTCATAAAATTAAATGAGCCATCCATGAGGAAAACATAGTGACAGCAGGAGTAGCTCCTCGTCTTCTTTAATAAGCCTCTTTTTCCAGTAACTGTGAAAGATTAGATATTGATCATACGACCAGCTCCACCATTCTAATTATACACATATAAGAATATGCTTAAAGGAACTGTCCAGGCTAAAAGCAAAATGCGGCTGCTACTCTGGTTGAAATCAAATCCCATCAACAAAAGCAGCAGTCAAACCTTAAACTCACATTTTTACATTAAGCTAAAAGTCCAACTTTACAAATATAAAATAACACTCACACAATGTCCAAACCAGCGAGCTGCAATAATTAGTTTAAAGCATACCTTGATTGTCCTAATGTAAACTAAGCCTTGTGTTGTATAACAGTAACCATAAAGTGCCACATCACACCTTGAGCCTCACCACTGTCAAATCCTGTGCTAGAATATGCATACTTCCCCCTTGGGGCAGGGGTCTGCAACTCCGGCCCTCCAGCTGTGCTTTAACGACAAATCCCAACATGCCTCTGGGAGTAATGCCTGTAACAATCAGTCTTGCAAATCCTCACAGGACTTGTACTTCTCCCAACAGCTGGTGTGTGCAAGTTGCCCACCCCTGCCACGGGGCAATGCTCAGGCACCAACCACTGCATGATAGAATGGAAAAAGGGTGCGCAAAAGTTCAGGTTTTCAGGAGGTACTCCAGTGACGCTCTTGGGAGAGGAGAGATGGAAGAAAAGCAGTCAAGCTAAGGCTTGGGTAATCGACCTGTCCATTGGGACCTTACAGTAGATCACTGCTTGGTACTCAACAGATCTCGGGGCCACTGGTGTTTAAGACTGCAAAACAGCCACTAAGAAGAAAAAAAAAGAAGAAAATGCAGGTGCTGACCGCTGGTTACATACACAAAGGAGAGGGACCATATGTCTTTGAATCCCATCCCAATTGCAAAACAAAATAAATAAATGTTGTGGTAACTTTTGTAGGACAGTTACACATCTTAAAGCCCATCTCAGTGTACAAAAAGGCTACCCTCACACTGCAAGGATTAAACTGATCATTATTGTGTATGGGAATTCTTTAAAGCAATTTTACTTACCTGATCCAACTTTCCCGGCAGAAGGTCGCGCTACCGTCGCTGGATGGTCGCGCTATCCCGGCCGCTGCAAAGGTATGTCGCTACATGTGAGCGGGGTCTAATGCATGGCTATTGACCCTGCATTAGATGTGATTAAATCAGCATGCCTCCGACTGCCAGAGCAGAAGGGGGGAAAGGTTGCAAGCACTGGTCTTGGAATCAGCCAAAGCAGGGATCAGGTAAGTAACACTGCCTTAAAGAAACCTAATAGACAACAACTAGTAGTTAACTCTTGCAGTGCAGGGTTAAGCCCCACTGCAAGGGGAGTGATTTTTTGTATGCTTAAACAGGCTTTAAACAGGTTGCCCAATTTAAAGCAAAGAAACAGAAGGCACTGGATAAATATCCCTCCAGCGGACAGCAAATCTCCCCAGCACTACTGAGCCAATCGCCACTCATACCCGGTCTGCTTTCTTCAGTGCAATCAATCTGACCACAGAAGCCTACTGCTTCTCACTGGGTATCTGTGTTTGAGCTGAGATTATTAAACTGGCCATACACCTATAGGATTATCTGCAGCTTTTCTATGGTCAGATGGAAAAAGTGTAACAAATTACTCCATCTACGCTAAACTGTGCGGATGGAGTAATCTCCCACTGGGCAAAGCTCCAGTATTTTACTAATCAGCCCTGCTGGCTCTCAAAATACCTTAACAATCTGATTGGATGCAGGCATTGTTCATGTGTTTTGAGAGCCAGCGGGACAGACTAGCAAGATACTGAAGCTTGGCCCAGTGGGAGATTCTTCCATCCACACAGTTTAGCATAGATGGAGGAACCTGTTGCACTTGTTTCATCTGTTCATAGAAAATCTGCCAAAAAAATCTATAGGTGTATGGCCAGCTTTAAGCTGGCCATACACTGTGCAAAAAGTGCACAGTGGATGCCCCCTCTCAGCACCCTTCCGCCCGGCCTCCTTCAATCAGAAAATTAAAAGAGCAGGATGGAAAATCCTTGGCAAAACAGCACATCCACCACCATCAGAATACAAAGGACACAGTGGGAGATTCATCCATCCACTGTTTAGCGTGGATGGAGGAATCTGTCATTTTTTCTTGTTCAGCCTTTAGTCTGAACAAAACAAAAAAAATACGACAGTGTATGGCCAGCTTATCTTAGTCTGTAGTCAAGTACAATTGCTATTCTCGCAAGTGAGAAGACCTCTGCAAATCAGTAGTAGCTGGTAGGGGGAGAGGGTGAAAACAAAGAATTTCTCAGCCTTTGTGTGCAATTGGAAAATGCAGAATGTAAAGGCACTAGATTGTGAACATCAGCACCTCCTGAATGTTGCCGTCCGCAAAATGAAGGTGTGATGTGGCACCTGTTTGTGCTAGGTAACACTAGTCCTTGTTCATATTGGATAAGGCCAATACAGGTATACTTTAAATTTGCAGGTGGAGGGACAGAAAAGATGGATCTTGATTAAAATGTGGGGAGATAGACTCATCTTCTAACATTCTACAAAGTTGACAGAAGTAGGTTTTACGTTTAAGTCTATCTTGGAAAACTCCCTAAAACATTTTTTTGTTGAGCTACGGTCAAGCCTCCAAGAACTGAAAAAAACAAAACAAAACATATCCTTTCTTAACCTATTTGACAGCAATTAATCCATATGCTGCTAAATATTTAAACACAGGTAGAATCCATATAAACAGTTACCTTTTTCTGCATTATCCGGAGCTCATCACTCAGATTATTATTCACCTTCATCAGCTGTTGAATTTTAGCTTCAGATGCAGCCAGGGCATTTTTTACACCCATAAAATCTTGCGCTGTGACAGTCCCGTCAGACACCTCACGTTCCAGACTTCCAGACTGTGGAGTAAATTATATATTCCTTTATAAATTCATTATTAAGTCATTATAAAGTTAGAAAACTAAAATTTAAAGTAAATCTTTTATAAGAGAAACAACTTTTTTTGGTAATCTTTTTGTGGGAGCCCATTTAGGGCCAGGAATTCTGGTTGGCTTATACTGCTGCCTATAGGAGTATTGGACAAACAGAAAATATGTATGCCAGCCTCCAGTGAAGCCCTCAGTTTTGTAAACAAACCATACAAAAGGCAAAGGAAAAAACCCAGAGGGGTGTGTCCCTCAATAGACCCCAAGAAAGAATACAAAAACATAATTCTCTCATATCCATTGACGGACACAGGAAAACCTTTCGGACGTCCTCCATCTGAGGGCTGGGGCAAGGCCACTAATAGGTCCAATAAGAAAATCAAACTCAAACGTAGAAGCAGCTGAAAGACCAAACAAAACCTGGCAATTCCTGAAAGATCTTGAGCCCAGACCAACAAAATCTGAGAGAGTCCACCAACAATCCACCCGGACAGGTGGAAGAATCCAAAACCTTATCAAGGCAACTAGATCAACGCCAAGTGGGGTCAACAGAAAAGACTAAATGGGACAACACTCAGAAAAGGATCCAGAAGAAACAATGAAAACAATGAAACACGAATTCCAGGGGAAAAAAAAAAAAAACAGTTGGGTAGTAACACCAAGAAACAGGAGTTCAAGCGAAGCTTTCTGATGATAGACCCTTAAGGAGTCAAGCCATGGGAATCCTGAAAACTGATCCTCTTTTAAGTAGAATTACAGTTTCCTTTGTTTGCATATATCTACTGCTAGCAAGCAGTAGATATATGCAAAAACATTAAAAAATAAATAAAAAAAAGTTACCATAAAGTTAAAAACTCACCTCTGTCTCCGCCGCTCGCTCCCGTCTGTAGATCTGAAGCCTCTCGAGCAGCCGTGCAGGAGGATGATTGCGGGTGCATGCGCAGTAGCGATCATCAGCGAGGAGTAGACTGTCCAAGGATTTGTCGAGGTGATAAAACATCTTCCCAACCAACCCCCTAACCGGCGCACCTTCATGCAGAAGGGTTAACAAAGTGATTACCTGACCTCTGGTTTTAAACCCTACAGCCTAAGCAGGAAGAAGGTTCCAAAAGTGTATGTGTAACAAAACAGGAGGCTACCACAAGTCATCACAGCTGAAGCATAAGGCTCATCATACTACAGTATTCCCGGATCCCCTGATGTGTATTGAGCTCCCTTACTGAGGAAGACTTCCCACAGGAGAAGTCTTTTACACGAATTGTACAGCTTCCGTTTGTGGCGAAAAAACAGATAACTCTAAAATTTTTGTTTTCCCATACACCTAGATCTAAGGTTTTAGATTACATGAAAAAAAGAAATCACTTTGTGATAGGGTAGACAGCTTGATTATTTGTCTGTTTGTTTAGTTGTTGGATGTTACTAGCCGAGTCAACTGATTAGAACCATGATAGTCACTATCTGCTGATGACAAATATGTTGTGATCATTTATCAATCCTCATATGTATGTTCATGGTATGCCAAATCTACAGTGTACAGTGATGGCTTGCAACATACTAATCCATGTAACGGCAATAGTATGATTAAGTTGTGCAATCTGCAAACATAGGCAATTTAACTTTTATGTTTAGTTGTGTTTATATTTGTGCAAAAGCAAATAAAAAAAAAACAGTAGTTTACCTGAAAGAAACTGCGGTGCCTCAAAACACAGACCTATTATATAGGTAGACTATTAGGACACCGAGTCATTAAATGAGGTGATCACTCGATCCTTCAGCCCTAATTCTTACTGCAGTGGATCCAGCAAAGGTGGGAAATCTGAAATGGTACCCAATGGTGCAAATAGTCTGGTAGTTCTATGTGCTTGAGCCCAACCACCCTTCTTACTGAGTCGTCAGAGACAGGGCCAACACACTAGAGCTCTAAACCTGGAAAGCACTATGTGGTTAACCAAACAGTACACTAAGGTCTGGAAAGTGCCAAAAAGCAGAGCCTAGTGTCCAAAGGAAATACTCCAGGCAGGTCCCACAATGGTCCAGTCCAATGGACTGCCACTGAGGCTATGCTGTTCCAGATAGCTGCTATGTGGAGACTTGCTCAGGCAGCAAAGCAGCAGCAGGTCTTGATTGAAGTCACCAAAGATAAAAACCTTCGGGTAAACTGAAAATAAAAAGCCTTGAGAATGGATATTTTTCCAAAGATCAGATACCATAGGGTACTGCACTGCCGCCATTTAGGTTTGCTAGAGTCACGCCTGATATTTCTAATAAAACAACACATTTTATGAAATCTATGTGGGCAAGTTCTAAGCAAGAGACATAAAGAAGGCACCATTAAGCAGAACTAAGACTGCTCTTGCTGAAGGTGGTCTCTGCCCCTTGAATTTCACATAGAAATATCATATAAAATATAATAAATAGTGGTAATGGCAATAAACATTTTGAAAATAATAAAAAAGGTAATTTCTGCAAATGCCACGTTACTATGAAAAAAATTACAACTTACTTTTTCTCTATTTGACCTAGCTGGAGCATTCTCCAAGTCGGTTTCTTCATCTGAGGCCACACTGTCATAGTCTGGCTGATCATTATCTTGACTTTCTGTACTATGTTGGTTGCTTATACTTTTTAACACCAATTCCACATTATCTGCAATTGAACATAGTAATAAGTGGTGCATAACTTGAGCAACTGGAGCAGTACATTTCCAATACTTCTGCACAGGTGTTATAAAAAGCAAAACAATGAACTAGTAACAGATTTCAGTTACTGTAGTGAAATGAGCAAAAAAAAATGAGTACCTCTCAAGGACTGCAACTGGTTACTGTACTCAGCACACTGCCCTTTAAACCACCTCATTTAACAAGGATGGAAATGTACGTTTCTTGCATATCAGCCAACACAGGTTTGAAGATGAATAACCGAGGTGTTCATGCGGTTTACACTCTACACACCTGTTTAAGTATCTGGATCTTTTGTTAGGCTAACACACCCAAATACATATGTCCTGGGTAAATAGCTCTTGATATGCACATAGGCAACGTATATAGGATGGTAAAACATTATGAGGGGAATTGATCAAAACTGGAGCAGCTGTGCATGGCAACCAATCAGTGTCTCCGTTTCATTTTCAAATCTTACCTGAACAAACTGAAGAGAGAAGCTGATTGCCATGCACTACTGCTCCAGTTTTTGATAAATTCTCCCCTATGTGTATTGGCCAATGTCCAAAAAACACAGCATCAGCACAAATGTTTAAAAACAATGTACCTTTCAGGCCCATTCACACCATAGCATTGTGTTAAGTGCACAATACTGCATGCATGCTGTACTTTTTTCACTACATTACATACAGTACTGCGCTGCAACGCATGGCAGCCAAAAGTTGAATTGGGATGCCACAGGGCTTTTAATTTTTGTAACATAACTGGGAAATAGACATGCATTTAAAAAATGCATGTTAAAGCATATACAAAAGCAGATTATAATCATAAAAACTCAAGCACTTTCAGGCAAACAAAAGTGAAGGGAAGCACTTTGTAAACATATTTATCAGTATAACATATGTCTGTGGCATTATGTTCAGCATGTATTAACTTACCTTTCGATCCAGATACTGGACTTCCCTGCTGTCTTCTTTTGGCATCACTTAAAATGTCTATCACCAGTGTTGCAAATTCATGAGCATTAAATCGGGCTAATTTCTGCCTTCCCTGAAATGATAAAAGATAATTTGACTACAGATAGAGTCCTGTTAGTCGTGGCCATACCTTCTATATAGTGTGCCTGACTGGTATTTGGGTCATTCAGGCTGTTGGAAAAGCAGTAAGTGATAGCATAAAGCTGGCCACAGACATCAGAGGGCATCAGCTTCTGCTTAAATGATCTAACCAGTGCAAATCTGGATGTGCGGAATACTGATCTCCTGCCACATGCTCTGGTTCCTCCTGCCAGCTTGCACATCCTGTAGAGATGTAAAGCTGGGGCAAGGAACCATAGTGCATGGTGGGAGGGGCAGATATTTACAGACTGGGAATTGTCCGATACCTGCAGCAGCCAGTGGGCGGGCAGAGTTTTAACCCACAAACACAGGAAAAAGTAAGGGACACTGTAGTGACAGGGTCACTTTAGGGCAGATGATACGGTAATTGGTATACAAAAATGAAGCATGCATATACACAGACACATATGCAAATACATATAGGCATGTCATTCTCCCACTTCACTCCGTTCTGTAAAGTAAAAAGAGAATTTCTATGAGGCATGCTCATAGCAGGAAGGCAGAGCTTGGCACATTTAGCTGCACAGATTACAAGGCCAGACTCAATAACAGATACAAGAACTATGTACACTGAATTTAAATATCGCTGCCAAGTCAACATACATGCATAATACAAACACCTGATGTCCTGTAGCATTACCTGGTTACGTGTTGAGGAATACTCCGGGTTCACTGGAAGGAAAGGTACAACAGTGGTCTCCGTCACAAGCGTGCTGTGATTCTGAGTGGCAAGCCAAACTGTAAATGCAAAAACATTCCTCAAAACACAATAGATCAGATATTTAAACATACACGTAAAGCCAAATTCCAGGCACAGCTATATTTTTAAACTTTCTCACATTACCATTCTTAGGCCTTGTTTAGATGGACAGCTGAGGGACAGTAAATTCAGGTGGTTGGAAGCACGGTTTTACTGTTCTTGTGGCCCGCTGCAATGTTAGCAATGCTGTATATATTGCCTTGGGTGGGATGCTTTGCATCGTGGCAAAAATTATACAGCATTTCACATGTGGCAGTTCCATCCCCTACTGACTAGTAGACTCAATGGAAATTTTACTCTATTTACCATCACACATACTTATTTACAAAGCAGGGAATCTGACATTTGCCAAACATCCACTGTAGGTGAAACTTCCTGTGTATGTGTTTTAAATGACAGTGACTGATTCACTACCAGTGAACGTTTGACGAAAGTCACATTTACTGCTATAAAAATATTCCCCTTCATTTGTTTGTGACAAGTCCATGTCATTACAATTCTCCTCTATGGCAGACTTTTTGAAAAATGCCACTTAATGCTTGCTGACTATTAGAAGAACTGGTAAAGAAAGCGCTCAGTTTTCAAACCCCCCAAATCTTTAACTTGCATGTGATCAATGTAATCCAACTTATCTAATGGAGATCACAAAGTCTAGGTTTGCCAAGAGACCTGTACATAATTTTACAGCAGATAAGGTAGGCAAAAATCACCTGCATCTGTTTCTCGTCTGTCGACTTCATCGTATACATCCATGGCCAATTCTTCGAATAAGTGATTGCTTAACTAATAAAAGGAAAACACGTTTTAGGAATATTATACACACAAAAATAAAAAACCAATAGCGCCAGAGTTGACCACTCCACTGAAGAAATGTGCATGCAGAAGTTCTACAGGTCGCTGCCCCTCATCAGTCAGGGAGACTGATATCTGATGAAACAAAAACAAAGGCGCCTTTCCTAGTGTAGATACATGCTGTGCAGCTCTTACATTCTGTGTCTTGCTTTTTGTTAAGACTGAGAATCAACTTCTGGACTTTGAAGGCTTATTGTTATCTACTCTTTTGTGAGTATCATTCTATTTTTGCTATTTACTTAATAAAAATTTATCTACACTAGGGAAGGCGCCTCCTGTTTTTGTTTCATCTAATATTATACACACAGTTACATAAAGTCAAAGTCCCCATAGCATGGGGATATGTCCTCTGAGGGATATATCCTCTATCAGGTTTTATTCTTTAAAATGGGGAAACAGTAAGTACAGCGTTCAGATTTGTTTAGGAGTTACCGTGACAAAAGTTTCTGGATGTGCTGAAACAGCCGACTTCTTCCACTTGTTTTGGATTTACAGGCTGAATCCAAGATTACAGCCTTTATAGAATCCAGTTTGAGCATGGTAAGTATTTGTCATCCCTGTTTGGTGACTCAGGATTATGGAGGATTTACCTCTAGATTCTTACTGCCAAATAAGACATTCTCCTTCTATGGAATTCAACCTCACCTCCTACTCTGAGTGGATGGAAGAAGTTGGTAGATCAAATCCTTTCGGTGTATAAAATCACCTATGCACAAAGAGGTAGGCCTTGTTTTTTTTGTATGGGGACCCTGGCTCTCCTCTGTCTTTACGATCCCATTTCTTCCCTGATTTGGGGGACTGCGTGAGTTGGAGCGGTCAGGCACTGTTTCACCAGCTCTTGACCCCCTTCTTCCTTGATTTACCATAATTCCTTTGATAATGCTCATGTTTGTATACCAGCAAGCTGCTGTATTTTGTAGGATATATTGACTTGATACCTCTATCAAATATGAGGCATACAGTGTTTTGGTTTTAGAATGTTGTTTATTGAGTGGTATTTTTCCATGGTTTGTATTTTTTTCTGCTAAATTCAATAATAAAAAAAAAGTTTCTTCCAATATCCTGCTCCAGGGGTAGACATACCATTACAGACTGAGCAGCTACACAAGGATATAGGGTTATGTTTACATCCAGGCATGAATGAAAGGGGGAGCCCTGAAAAAATTGTTCATGCACTGAGGCCCTCTGGTAACTAGCTTTGTCATTGTCCTACTCCCATAATATTTTGGTCACTCTATTAATCGCCAGTGATACTTACAGACTGAAGTTTTTTCTTTGCAGCCTTGGCAAGTTCTGATAAATCTAAACTGCTACAAACAAGGAGCGAGAGTCCGCATTAGTAATGATAACACACGTCATGTCAAATATAAAAAGGAACACGCACTGGGAGATTTAGGTACATAAAATGGCAGTTAGTGTTTGTGGTTTTCCTCTGGGGTAAGTTTCCATATTGCACATTGGTTTACAATCCTATAAGATGGTAACATCTGATATACAGTTGAGTAAATAATAGCACATTTGGTAACGTCATATTTCATGCTAAACTTGCACAGGAAGAAACCACAAAGCATGTAGAGCACAATGTCCGTTACCACATTAATTCTGTAACAGCTGAATGGCAGTGATGAAGGATGAGCTCTCTCCCAACAGAGAGAGGAAAAACTGCCAGGCCACATTTAATTTGATAAAGATAAAAAGGCATTGCATATCACAATAAAATGAGTGCAATACCGGTTATCTTTATTAAATAAAACTTGGAATACTACAACATGCCAGTACACTTCATGTGTAGAATGCTTTTCAGCTTTAGGATCCTGTTTCGTGTTTCACAAGCAGCACAGAATAGCGAAATTAACAATAGAAACTATATTGCTTTGTCAAGTCATTGGTTTGAATTTTAACAGTCATATTATATTGGTGATTTGTTTACTAAATTTAGGTGGTAGTTGGCATCTAAACCCAATTACAAAAATGTAATATATTGCAGCTTGCCAGTCCTTAGATGTACTGGTGGCATTCGTTTTTATTTTTTTGGATTTTTTTCAACTGGTAATCATTTTAACAACATACTTCCTGTCCCTGGGTGGTTACACTCACCCCTCCACTGGATCTATGGAGGGAGCCATTGTTGCCACCCAGGCTGGACTACAAATGTGTCTGTCTTGGCTCATCTCCAAAACATAGAGGTGTGGGCTTCTGTAGTGTTTAGAAGGAAGATAAATGTTTAATGCTTCCAGTTTAGCTCACAGGACGTGACAAAGACAATGCATTCCTGGAAAGCTCAACAAGCATTTTTATACTTGGAGAACTGTGAGGCGAGTGCTTTTCACTCATCCTAATAGTTCTAGCCAACTTGTGACAATGAGACTGTCACAGGTCGGCTCAGTAGATCGGGAGGTGAGCGAACACATACCGGCGTTCGCTCGCTTCTCAATCCTGTCACGGCTCTCTGCCGTGACAGGGGAGGGGCTGGATTCCCCCCTCCCCACTCCGATCTTCCAGCGCTGACTGGCGGAACGGATGAGGGAGGGGGCAGGTACAGCTGGTTACTCACACAGCTGGGCGGATCCAGACATAATTGTCGGGATCTGCTTCAGCTGCGGGGTATACCGGGAGCTGTAGCTCGCGGTATACTGAGCTTGGGGTGACGGGAGGACGCTAGTTTGTGTCCTCCCGTTACCCTAAGGAGAACTATGGGGAAAAGCCCTAACCCCATAGTTCTCCTTTAAATACTGGTAAGCAGCAATACATTCAATATTTGTTCTTGGGTTTAGTTATCTTTAAAATTTATTTTATGGTACGTGTACATACATGCCATATATTTCATAGAATCAATTTTTGCTTGGGATCATACTTTATTTTTCGTGACATCATGGTTGAAGCTTTTGATCACCAAATCAGTCTTTCCTTTTTAGTTATTAGTAGACAAGCTCACACGGAGCCCCACAGCACCCAAATATATACAGGCGATTAACCCCCACATTGCTTCAAATTCATACACAGATATTCAGGTGCACAAGTCACAACAAGGAGTCACAACACAAACCACATAATACCACTATCTTTAATGAATGAATGAATGTATGTATGTTTATTAATTTATTAAAGCAGAAGTATCAAGAAAGTAAAATATACTCTTCCCAATACTTTGAGGAGCTGGTGTGGAACACTGCAGCTGTCACCCTGACTCTACATATGGAGGGCTGAGTGATCGGTAACTGCTGATCACTCACCTCACAGTTTCCTCCCTGTCAGTCACTACTCCCCGCAGGGTTTCCCCCTCCTCTCTCTGTTCCTCCAGTGCTAATTGGAGGGACAGACAAGGGAAGGGCAAGAACTGCTGTCTCTGGATCTAGAGAGGCAGAGGCTACAGAGATGAATTGGGCAGGGCCGATACCAGTCCTTGGGATAACACTGCACAGTGACTTGCCACCTCACTGGATTTCTCAGCTATTTATATTACATATTTTAACTAATAGTAGATAAAGAACAATTTCAGATAATGCTTTTTGAGCTTGAAACACCTTTTAATGTGTGGGACTTAAAAGGAAACATAATGGACCCTAGAAAGAAACAGAATAGATTTTACTGATCTAAAATCGCTTTTTACCCATTTAAACTCTTGGAAAACCACAGACACATGCAGCATAAATGTAACCGGACATAACATACCCTTTTCCTCAATATAAACTGCAATGTCAATATATTTATTTAATTAATATCTACTGCAAAGCACTGGCAAATTCTGCATCACTTTACAGAGTAAGCAGGACCAGATTGATCCCGGTTTCTGACAAGGTTATAACCTGACATCTATACCACAGTTGCACACATAAGGGACACTTTGGGAGGAAGGCAATTTATCTACCAGGCTGCGTGAGTGGATTGAGAGAAAAAAAAACAGGGAGACTGGAGATTACTCACACAAACATAAAGAGAACATAGAAACACAAAATGGGTCCCTTGTGGAACTCAACCCAGGGTCCTAGTGCTGAAACTAATATTTTGCAGGTTCTCACTTTTTTTGCCATGCTCCAGTTATGTTTTATAGCAGATGAGCTAATAAGAAATGCGCAACCAGCAGATATAAGAAAATGTAAGCAAGTATTTCTTGAGCTAATGCAAATATATAAATAAAGAACTGGCCGAGCCATTCTAACAGATTTTTAAGCCTCTCCTTAACATTTGTTGAGAATACAATGAATATCAATATTGTAAAACCGTTTGATGAACACTAGTAAAACTACAGCACATAGATGTAGAACAACCACATAGGAAAGAACAGAATGTCTACTTAAAATGCATTTTTGTGCATCAAAACTCATGTGTTTTGCTGCAGATAAACTGAAAGGAGTGAATGGGCCTTCAATTTTTGCACGTAAACGAAAGCTGAACACATCCAAACTTCTAAACACATAACCGAAATGCATATATGTGTACTGTTTTAAACAGACAAAATATTTCTGATTATTTTTTTATTTCAAACACCACTGCCACAATAAAACAGGAGGGTGACATCACATTCTCTCTCATTTTAGGAATAGAAAAGGTGTCACTTCACTGCTGATTCACAAGCCAGTAACTTGTCAAACAGCACCTGGCCACACGCAATCCTTCCCATGGCTTTGCGGAATTACAGCACTTCCTCTGTTGCTAGAACCCTGCCACTGTGAGCTGCAGTATCTGGGAAGAGAGCATGTGAGACACAAAAGGAGGATTTGGCTCTGTCAAGGAATTTTTTTTATTTTTTTATGAAGTATGCGCATTGCATATTACTGATTTGGTACTTGTTTAGACTGTCAAACAGGAGCCTTTAGTTATACTTCAATGGACAGCAAAAGGAGCAGAAGCACATAAGCACTGTGTTCGAATGGCAGCTCAGTGTGACGCAACAGAACTAAAGACAAATATTTATAAAATCTTTAAAATGATTTGATTTCAACACATAACAAAACAGCATTAAATGTTTGTTTCTGTATCTACCTGGAGCTCAGCCCCTCTGACCTATTAGGAATCTTATCATCAGCCATCTATCACCTGGCCATAGGCCACTGTAAACATAAGATACTACACACAGGAAGGTGCACACCTAGCTACATTCACACCTCTGCGGACATACCTTACATTCACCCCTAAGGGCTTGCTTTGCTGGAAACCGCCCCAAAGATACAGCAAGGAGTATTTATTGTTTTAACAAGTAACACTAAGACCCCATTCACACTGAGCGACATGCAAATCGCGCGACTTTGAGCGACGAGCGACGTTGAGAGACGTGTCGCGCGACATCTTCCTATAATCTTACAATTACTTAGAAACAAAGAGAATTCTTTACTTACAGCCTCCTATTTCCAGATGTACAGCCACAGAATAAAAAGGAAAATTAACATTATGATGTATGCAGATTTAAACTGCCTGCAATAAAAAAAACTTCCACATTATGATAAAAAGCTACCTACATAACAAAGATGCCATTTACATGGGTTTCCTGCAGCTGCCTCGCAGCTGTCTCTTCCTTGTATCAAGTACAAAACCAAGAGCTCCATAACAGATGAAGTCACTGCTTGCTAGAACAGTTGCTTGGAGCTCTTTGAAGTTAAACGGCTATTTATAATCATGCTTATTATGCCAAAATGTCCTGCTATGAATTCTGTTTTTGTTTTTTAAACAAATGATTCATTGATTTTTGTTGTTGTAACAAAACAAAGGAATTCAACATTCTAGGAGATTTTCATTCTATTGAATAATATAACTGACTAAATAAAAACCTTGTACAAATATTTTTATTTACTGTTTTCAATAAACATAATTAAACGATACCTGTCTGCCATGTGTGGTATGATAAAGTGCTGTCCATTTCTATGGTCTAGAAAAACAGAGATTTAGCAATAAGTTCAATACACACTTATGAGCATACAGTATATGTCTATGCTTTCTGCTGTTTTCATCTAATATAAATAACCATTCATTATAAAAGATTTGTCGTTTGCATGCTTACCGGGTTTTCTTCCACATAAATAAAACGCTAATCTGTCGGTCAATTCGTGTTGAATTTCCACAAGACGATCAGCTAATTCATGATGGCCACCTTGCCTGAAGTAATGGGATACAGTGCATTGGGTTACAGTCAATCTCTACACTAGGATTTCAGTTACTATTATCTAAAAAGCATTTGCATTAGGGATGGAAAAATGTCAATAAATAAAATCAATTCCAGGATGCATGAAATGCTTTAATGCATACAATTACACTGAAGAATTGAATCAATCATCTTGCACATCTGTCTCACATTCTCATTTTTCAGTCAATACAGCAAAGAGGCATGTGAAGAATGCCTATGAAATGTGATCTGTATTTAGTGGCATGTGCACATTGGCTCCTTGTTTTTTCAGTTTTTCCTTATTCAAATATACTCACACATACGAACATTGAAACACTGGCAATTAGGTAAAGGATAAGATCTTCATATGTTCAGCTAAGGGTGTTTAGCACTGCTAAAGCCTGTTTGGTACGCATGGGCATATTTTTTTCACTCAGTCTTGTATGCTGAACGGAAAAAACATGATTCCTCCATCCACGCTAACAGTGTCTCCTGCTGTGTACATTGCATTCTAAAAGCGACGCAGGTTGCGATCACAATACCTGAACAGTGCTTGCCAGTGACTGTTCCTGCAGCAAAAGTCAATTTAATGAGCTACCTTTGTCGAGTGGATAGAGTAGAAAATCGGCCGACATTCGATTAGTCTGTATCCAGGTTAACTCTGGGGGCTTTAAAAACTCCTCTTGCAACTGGACTGCCTCAGCACTGCAAGGGTTAAAGGCTTGTTTAGGTCTAGGGTATCGGGTCAAGTAGTTTAACTGACCTGAACTCAGTGCTTACTAGTCTCCCTTTCTCAGGGTTGTCAATTGTCCCGCAGCATCATTGTGTATTATGTAGGGCTATGGGACCTGCGTTATACTTGATGTCAGTAGATCTCCGACTGCTGGAGTGTAAGGGGGGTAAAGAGGTTGTGGGTGACAGTCCTGGAGCCTAGGCTAGGACCTAAAGGAGCATTTAACCCTTACAACTGCAAAGAAAGCTCCCCCCGGAGTATGACTTTAACCCACCACAGCACCCCATTCTTAAAACCTGCTGCTGCCAGCTGGAACTATGATAGCACTGGCAGGCAGATCAATCCATGGAAATGTAGTTCGACACTCAAGCCTGTGCCAGCAGATCTGTTAAAACATTTTAAAAGCAGAGAGGAGGTGCACAAAGAAGAAAAAACGAAGGAATTTATTCCAGTTGGACTTGCCATGGTTCATGCCCTCTCTGCACCCACCCACCACCCCATAAACCCTATACCTCACTGGAACTCTTTAAAAGAGAAGTAAAGCCAAACTCTTTGTTTGGCTTTACTTCTCGTTTGGGTCATAGTACATTTAGTAATGTAATGCTGTGACCCAAAGTCAGCAGACAGCGAACTAATGACAGCTGTTCTGTGCAGAACTGTGCTGCAGCAAGAAAGTATCCTAACAATATTGTTGGGATCCACCCAGCTGCCTAAATGACAGCTGGTTCTGCCTCTCTAGAGCCAAAACCAGCTGTGCCCATCCCCTCCCTTGTCTGTAGCTTCAGCAAGTGCTGGAGGAACAGAGAGAGGAGGATAAATCCCTTTGGGAAGCAGTAGCCAATGGTCACTGCTCTCCACAAGGAGAAGACACCATGGCTGTGCAATCAGTAGTTACATGAATTCTCAGCTCTTGGTCTTAGATCTGGAATGTGACAGCTGCAATGTCACATGCTGGCTCTAAGTAGAGGGAAGAGTATAATTTACGTCCTTGCACTACTCCTTTAAAATAATATCCGCTTCACTGTTCACATGTATGGCAAGCTGCTGCTCTGCTTTTAGGGCTTGTTCACACCATGTTGGAACCAGAAAGTTTGTGTCCGAAACTTGACATTTTTGGGATTTTGTAGAATTCTATGCTGAATCTCTGAATTACATGGCCTTCTATAAGTAATGCCCTGTCTGTATTGCATACCCTCCTATGATTGATATTCTGCATGTATAACATAGGCTTCTAGAAGTAATGCCTTGCCTGTATTCTAAAGCCTCCTATGAGTGATGCTTTATGTATCACAGAGGATTCCATGAGTGACGCACTGCTGGTATTGCATAGCTTTCTGTGAGGAATTATTTGCCTCCATTACATATCCTCTGGTAGGTGATGCTTTGCCTGCATTACATATTCCTGTAAGTGATGCTTTCCCTGTATTACATATCCTCCTGTAAGTGATGCTTTGCTTGTACAGTAAACTCTCAGTTATCCGGTATTCAACTAAGCAGAACTCTCATCTAACCAGAAAAAAAAAACCTGTTTACTCACTGTTGTGCTGATCTGCATCATGTAATATCCTTGAGATGATTGTGTGTCTATTTGTCTTAGTTTGCTTTTGATTACTGCATTTCAATAATAATATAAAGTCAATACAGAGTTTATGTTATGATATGGTATAGTATGGAGTATGGCATTAGTTAGACCTATTTTTAATAGTAACTCTAAAGCAACCAGAAGCTACATTTATCCAGAATCTACCAATCCCCGTGGATGCCGGATAACAGGGAGTTTACTGTATTACACAGCCTCCTGTGAAAGATGCTATGCCTCGATCACATGGGTTTTGTAAGTGATGCTCTGCGTGCATTACATAGCCTCCCATCTATCAGGATTCATTAATAAATTGACACAAATGAAGTAACTGTTTATCAGCGAGATAGTCACGAGGGGCATGCTATTACTACATGTTAAAGAAACATTACAGGCATGCAAATACCACCATAGAGATGAAATGATATCTTGTTTACTACAATCAAACATTTCTTTCTCCCACTTATCATATGGTCATAAGCAATACTGAGATGAAACATAAGCAGAGACCCAAAAGCTGCAATTAATATTAGCAGTGTGATTTCAAAGTCAGATTTAAATGAATATGAGCATTCAACATGCTAAGCAAATCTGGAGTCTAAGTGATATGCACTATGGAAAAACGTAAACGTTTATTGATGCAAGCTTACGAAACAAGCCAGCACAAAACCTAAGGCCTACTTCCAGGAAATACTGCAACTGTATCACCATCAAAAAGTGAATTCAGCTTATTTTCATCTAGGTACCCTGCAATTCAGTTCTACTAGATTTTGACAGGCTAACGGGCTCAGCAGGAAGGCATTAGGATTGTAATGTCTGAAGTCAGTGTAATATCTTCTCTCTGCCTCCAGCAATAATCACATTCAAACATCCAAGGCGCCAAAAAAATCTTCAATCCTAAATCGTATTTGCAGCTGGAAGAAAATTATTATTACTAACAATTTTTTCTTTTTATAACATGCTATCTGTATGTGAGAGACATTAACTAGCCTGTAGTGGGTTTTCTAGAATCTAAACCAGATACCTCTCTGGTCTTACCTCCAGATCCAACACTTTCTGAAACCCCCGCCCCCATGGCACAGGTCCACTATTCCAGGCTTCCCACAGCCTCTGAGGCCTTGTGCGAGTACCCTCCCCCCTAATCACACACACTTTTTCCATGAAGCTGCCCCCAACCAAGATAAAGCGGCTTTGAGATGGGAGAGGGACCTTTCCCTGCCGGCATTGGCTGACGCCTGGGAACCTATTCATCTTAACCTCCAGAAGGGAACAGTAAACACCAGTGTCCAAGAGACAAATTATAAACTGCGGTCCTGTTGGTATCGCACCCCAGCTCTTCTTGACAAGATTTTACCTTCCGTTTCAAACACCTGACACCTGTTGGCGCTGCTATGAGGATGTGCGCATTCTCCTACATATTTGGTGGTCTTGTCCTCGCATCTCCATGTTTTAGTCAGAGGTTTATCGACTTCTTTTGCACTATACCCAATCTTCCCATTTCTCTTACAAACATTCACTCTCCATTCATCTGCTTTTTGCAGCCAAAACCATGATACCTAGATATTACACCCACGAGAAGAGACTGGTTTAGACGCATTGACTTTGTTGCAGAGATGGAGGAACTAATTCACATAAGTAGACATGACATGACCAGATACACTTGTACATGGGTCAGATGGCTTCTGTTCCAGGACTCAAAGGCATGCAAGTTCCATATATGCCATTTGCCTGTGGATTCAGGGAATGCTTCACCCAAATAGGACGTACTTTACTGTAGGTCTTTTATTACTAATGAGGTGCTAGATTGGAACAACTGGTCTGACTCACCATTCTGAAATTATTTTTCAAATGCCTTTCGTTGACTTCTATTCTTATTCATGGTCGTGGTCTCAGGCCCTTTTCGGGGGTGGTTGGGGTGGGGAAGGAGAGAATCTTACCCCGCTCCCCTGGCCTTTCGCCCTCCCTCTCCTTTTTCTCATTCCCTTTCTTCTTTCTTTACTTGTTCACCTTCTACTTCATTTGTGTACCTTAACACTCTCATTTACCTCTATTATTCTCTCTTATATTTGCCCCCTGTTTATAAATAGCCCAGTTAGAACTGAAGATAGTCCCACTCACTTTTCAGCCAGTAATCACTAGCTTACATTCGTTCCTCACCTGGTTATACATTTTAGACCAGCTGTGTGATTATGGTGTGAAAAACTATTGTTCTTAATGCCTAGCTGTTGGATAAGATATATTGTGGCCATGAATTCTGATGCATTCCAACATCACTAGGCTTCCGACAAATGGGAGTGAGGGCACAGATGCATTACATCAACTTCTGGATGAAAGACTGAATAACTGAGCAGACAGAGTGTGCTTCCTGTATGCATTTCAAGGCTTCATTTTTACTGCTGTACACGGATCTGCATGATGATATGGGCTTAGACTCTTGCCACTGCACAATCCACAAAACAGGCTATATGCTCTGTAAATTAATTCTACAGCTTCCACATCAGAGTTTTTTATAAGTATGTGAAATTCCAGTCTCACAAATTATGTTAGAGACCCTGTTGGCAGACGCATTATTTCAACAAAAGATTACATGTGCACTTAGCATATTTTCGGCATGCTATTTACTTGTGAACACCTCCCTCGTGTAGACATCCAGAAGCCCTAAGACTAATGCTGGGAGGCACCATCTTGGATGTGATGTCACCAGCCACAACAAACTCAGTTCTCAGTGAAGTGACATGCTATAGCATTTCTGTTCTCTCCTTCCCCAGTAGCTACATAAAAGTTTACATAGGGAGGGGCAGGGATGCTGGGCCAGCACAGAAAGTAATTATAGCTTCCAGAAGAGGACAGGGTTATAACATGCAAAGCGTACAAGTTCTGTGCAACAGACTCTTTCTGGAGTAATCAAATTCTCTAGAAAATTCAAATAGCACATAGCAAGTGGAAAAAAAAAAAATGATGGAAAGAAAATAAACACTGCAAGTAAGCATTTTTAATGTCTGATTTTACGGGATTATTTCTCTGGATGGTAAGTGGCTCGTCCAATAAAAATTCTCTGGACGATCAATGGATTGTGTACACTCACCTTGCATAGTCAATGGGTGTTTTACCAGCAGAATCTGGTGTGCCTGGATCTGCTCCATACACTGCAAGAAGCTCTGCCTGCAGGATCTGTCCTGCTTTAGCTGCCACATGAAGAGGTGTACTTCCCTTTTCCTTCAAGAAAAAATAAATAATTAAACTATGCGGCGTCTGGATTTTTCAGCCTCAGATTATGCTAGTCTACAAACGTTCCTGCAACTTTTACCAAAAGCATCGCCTTTCCGCGATTGTATCTACAAATTCCTCTGGTCAGGTATTTCTGTCAATTTTTCTATTGTGCTGAGATAACATTTAGTTCTCTTGTGCAAAAGCCTCTGTTTGCCCCTTTCATGGGCTCGCAATTTTTGAAAAGTCTGACGAAGGCAAACCACTCATTTTTTTATGATCTCAGAGAACACATGGCAACAAGGGTGACCATAACTGCAACAAAACATTAACCACTTCAGTGCCATATGACGTACATGTATGCCCTCGTCTTGATGTGGTTGTACCAAGATCATGACTGCTGCAACCATGATATTGGTATTGTTTGTTTTTAGCAGGCAATGCTTGTTAATTGCAAATGATCTGTGATCACTTGCATCAGCCTGCTAATGTGGCATTATATTGTGTGTTTGTTCTAAAAATTGGATTTTTGTACTGGCCGTAAAATCCTTTTCTCTGTGTTCATTGAAGGACACAGCGAAGATTGCTAGAGCTAACCACTGGGTTATACTTCCACCTGCAGGAGTAGGACACTAGGCAAAAAACACAAAAAAGACAACCCAGGGGCTCCCCCGTACTGGTTGCCAACCCCCTCCCCCCCCTTTGCTAACACCACAGCTCTAGTCAGCAGCAAGCAGTAAACAACTAAACGAATGGCAATATCCAACCAAAAGGGAAGGTGCCGTGTCCTTCAATGAACCCAGAGAAAAGGATTTTACAGTGAGTACGATAATCCAATTTTCTCTCTTTTCGTTCATTGAAGGACACAGCGAAGATCGCTAAATCTAACAATTGGGACGTCCGCCAGCAGTGTCAGCCAAAGGGCAGGGAAACAACAAAAAAAAAACCCTAGCCTAGCATCCTACTCCTGCAGGTGGCAGTATAACCAGTGGTTAGATCTAGCGATCTTTGCTGTGTCCTTCAGTGAACAAAAGAGAAATTAATTTTAGTGTTTCAACACACATTTGCTCAAATACAGGTGAAACTCGAATAATTAGAATATCGTGCAAAAGTTCATTTATTATCATCCCTGCTGCTTGTGCACCTTTTTCGTACACACTTTTACCTTCCACATAACTTTCTATTAATGTGCTTTGATACAGCACTTTGGGAACATCCAACTTCTTTTGCAATTACCTTTTGAGGCTTTCCCTCCTTATGGAGGGTGTCAATGATGGTTTTCTGCACAACTGTCAGGTCAGCAGTCTTTCCCATGATTGTGATTCCTACTGAACCAGACTGAGAGACCATTTAAAGGCTCAGGAACCCTTTGCAGGTGTTATGGCTTCATTAGCTGATTAGAGTGGGACACTTTGAGCCTAGAATATTGCACCTTTTCACAATATTCTCATTTTCTGAGATTGTGGATTTGGGGTTTTCATGAGCTGTAAGCCATAATCACCACAATTATGACAAATCACGGCTTGAGCTATCTTGCTTTGCATGTAATGAGTCTCATATATTAGTTTCACCTTTTAAGTTGCATTAGTGAAATAAATGAACTTTTGCACGATATTCTAATTATTCGAGTTTCACCTGTATAGTGCGACACAAAAAAAATGCAGCCATCATTTTTTTTTTATTCTACAAGACCTCTGCTTTCAGAAAATATATAATTAATTGTTTGTGGGTTTGAAATAATTTTCTATACAGAAATTCAGATTTTAGCATTTGTGAGCAAAAATTAAAAACTTGCTCAGTTACTAAGGTAAATGAACAACATTCACAATACTCATGCAGGTATAACGTGTAGTCAGGAGGAGTTGCCTGCACATACTTGCAGCAGCTTAAAAAATGCACGAGGACTGAATGCTGGACCCTTCTGACAAGCAAAGCTCTCATATGTCAGGTAGTGTTAGGCCTTGCTGTTATGGTCCCACCCCCTCACATTCCTATTGGCCGACCATTTTGATGAACTGCCTCACCCTACAATAGTAACGTGGAGGAGTCAGGAAGTGCTGGGCAAGCTTCCGCATTTTTAGGAAGAGCTACAGCCAGAGAGTCAGCAATGAGAGGAGGGTTTCGCAGGCTGCTTCAGGTATATGCAGGCACCTCAAGGTTTAGTGTCTAAGTCAGGGGCGCCCACAATTTTTTCGTCTGGAGATCTACTTTTCAAATGACGAGCTCAATGAGATCTACCAACGAAAAAACACCTGCGTTCAGTGGCGGGAGGGAGCTTGGAGGTGCACTGAAGTCAATGGTGCACATTAGTGCATGCGTTCCGGTCCAGTGCGATCCGCAAAAATGCTGCAAGTACTATTTTTGCAGATCACACTGGACCGGAATGCAGGCACTAATGTACCTGCAATCCGGGTGCGAGCGATCGAACTGTGGGCGGGGGACATGGCTGCGGTGCAACCCCACGCCCCCTCCCGCCCCTGAACCCAGGGAGTCGGCCGGCTTACATTCCAGTGCGTCCTAGAGGTGCCAGCGTCCTATCCTCACGTGGTGCTCGTGTGGCCGATGTTGCACACAGGGAGAGGTGTCTCGCCCCTTTCCGTCTGCGGCGTCTGACACATTCAGCTGGCAGCCTCACAAGCACCGCGGGAGCATAGCCGTAGCCAGCTCCATTTGCGCATGTGGCAAGAAAAAAGGTGCCCCCTAACGGGCGTGTGACATCACACAGCGCCCTTCCTCCAGGAATTTTTATTTTATTTTTTACTATTTTTTATTTTATTTTTATTATTTAATTTTAATTTTTTTAATTTTAATATATTTTTTTTACTGTTGGGGGGCTTCGGGGAAATATTCGGGGTCTAAAACAGCCCCCAGATATCTCCCTTTTAAAATAGAAAAAAGAAAATCGAGGACACAAAGTCCTCAATCTCTTTCTGCAGCCTCTGTTCTAAATGAATGGAAAGCACAGAGGCTTCCCATTCATTCAAAAAATATTTACTATCACCAGTTTCTGAATGGGGAGGAGCCTCTGTACAGAGTGCTTCTCCCCATTGAGAAACTCATGAATGAACAGGAAGTGATGTAAATCACATCCTGTTCATTCATAACTGGGGACACATAGTACTGTGTGTCCCCAGTTATTTACAAACACTGTAGTGATCAGCTGATCGCTCCAGTGTTTGTCCTGCACAGAGGATTGGTACATATCACTGATATGTACCGATCCTCTGCCACTCGGCCACGCACAGAGGGGGCTGCAAAGTCTCCTCTGGATCCCCCCCTGCTCTCCCGGGCAGAGGGAGATTCCGAGGAGAAGTGAAGGAAGCACTTCAGCTGCCGGGGGACGGAGCCGCTGTAACAGCAGCATGTGCAGTGAGGGGAGAGAGAGTCGCCGCCTGTCAGATCCAGGCGGAGCGGCTCTCTCTCTCCTCACCGCCGCCGACTGCAGCTTCACTTTTTCTATGATCCCCGCTGCATACAGATGGGGGACAGCAGCGGGGATCCAGAGAAGACAGGACATCGCGATCACTGGTAGATCGCGATCGAACTAATGGGCACCCCTGGTCTAAGTTCACATAAACTGTTGCTTACCGGGTTAAAAAAATTAGCCTGTGCCCCCAGGGATAACAGCCTCAGACAAGTCTCCAGGTTGCCAGTCCTTACACTCGAGTGCAGTTGCTGCAAAAACAATTAAAATAAGTTATTCTGTTATGTAATTTATACAGTTACATTTATAAAACTGACACCACAATACACGGCAATAAAGAGAAAGCATAAGCTAGTCCTTCACCTCCATATATAATGTTATCTGAAACTTTATGGAAATCTTTGCTGAGAAAATCCATGCAGCTATTGCAGGTTTCTACTTCTGAAAATGCAAGCTGCCTGCCTGTCATGCTAGTCTAATGATGTCAATACTTACTGAACCACTGACTCAGAACAAGTATAAAGATAAGAAGTTCTGGTTTCACTGCTTACATGCATGTTCCAGGTCAGTCACAGTGATGAAGTCAGTGGCTCAGCATGACTGCCAGGCAGTCAGTATTCAACTTTACTATACAGAGGTGTATTTTAGGTATATTGAGGCCTATGGCTCATTTAAAGGATGAAAGTTTTTTTTTACCGAAAAAAAATCAGTTTACCCGATACAAATGTGCAGAATTAGGAGTAATATATTTACCTTGCTAAGGTCTTTGGCTGTAACACTATCATCTTCTCGACAGGGTAATCGGTGAACAAATGCCAGCATTTGATACTTCGCTCTTATAAATTCAGCCTTATTTGGACTGTAGGGAAAAAGAAAATCGAAACAGTACAAAACAAAGAAAACTCGCCAAAGATGCAGCCTGTGCATTGCTGGCTTCTGTTTCTCCCCATCAGGTATGCAAAGCTACCCTATCAAGTAAAAAAACTATTTAACAGTGTACAGCAATACCTTGGTTTACGAGCATAATTCGTTCCGGAAGCATGCTTGTAATCCAAAGCGCTTGTATATCAAAGCGAATTTCCCCATAGGAAATAATAGAAATTCAGATGATTCGTTCCACAACCCAAAAATAATCATGTAAAAATGATTACAATACTGTACTGTAATATAATATTGCACAAAATATAAAGAAAAATAAACCAATTACCGGTACCTTCGTGGCTGGTGTGAGGGGGACAAGAGAAAGGAGGATTATTTTGTAGGACGACTTTCACCATCACTAACGGAATCACTGCTATCTCAATGGAATCTTTTTCATTTCGTGAAACTTTAACAAGGAATCTATCCAATGTGACATTGCATTGTCGTTAAACAGACTCATCGCTCGCACTGCTACAGCCTTATTCGGTGGTACTTTTCTACAAAATTTTGCTCTTATTGCAAGACATTGCTTGTATATCAAGGCAAAATTTTTCAGAAATGTTTGCTTGTCTTGCAAAACACTCTCAAACCAAGTTACGTGTAAACCAAGGTATTACTGTACATGGCTGGTTTTGCTTGGTCATGATGAATACCTTCACAGAATTTTTGAAGAAAAAGTGATCCGTTTCTTAATAACAAGCACAGGAAGAAAACAACAATACAAATGCAAGTACTTTGCAAGTGTTTTGCAGCCCTGAAATGTGAGCACATTGTTTATACGAGATTAAAGAAAACCATGCCATTCCACTTGCTATTTTATCTAGGGCTACAACTAATGATTTTCATTAAATTGATTCATTGGCCAATTATTTTTTTGATTAAATCGGATAAAAAATAAATAAATTATAAAAAATAAAATACACAAATGCAGTCTTACAAACAAAGTTTACTTCAATGTAAAACTGTGAGCACATTTGTTTGCAATTGCACTGCAATGGAAAGCATGGAATAGCAGTTCTGTGTGTTCCAGTGCGGGCGATTACACAGTGGGTGGGAGGCATGTTTGGGTTGCCATTGAAATGAATGGCACTGCAAAGCACCTTCCGCAGCAGAATTTGTCAGGACGAAACCGAAAATGACTGACTTTTTTTCCCACCTTTTTATCATTTGTTTTTATAAAATTGTATTGTAAGCACATGGCGCTTGAATAGCTTCAGCCACGGAATGACAGCTTCTAGTGGCAAGATTCCACAGACGGCAGCTGAATGTAAATACAGCAGGTAGTGGGCTGGTGCAATAGCCAGCATGATATTGGCCCTTTCAAATTGCAATAGCAGGCTGGCTATTGAAACCACCCACTGCTTGCTGTGCCCTCCTCCCAGCGTGGGTGAGGGAGCTAGAGGATCCAACCAATTAATCGGTAATGAAAATAGTTGACAGCTATTCTCATTATCGAATAGATTAGTTGGTTGCAGTCCAAATTCCATCTAACTTGTGTATAGAGGCTGTTGTAAGCTCATTATTGCTCACCATCTCATTCCACAATTCTCTTGCAATCCCTAGACAACAGCTGTAAACTCAGAGTGAAAATCCACATCTATACACAAGTGGCATAGCAGGAGAAATGGCATAGTTTACTATAAGCCAGCTGTGTGCCTCTTTTTTTGCCATCCCTGAGCTTGAAGGCTGTGGCAACTGCATAAGAACACTAACCCTCTGCAAGATGTATGACTATTCTATAGAACTAACAACTCAGCCACACTCCTTATAGACACAATCATTACTAACTGATGTTCGGAATGGCCAGAAAAAGGACTCTACTTACTGAAGTTTATCCTGGGGATTGGCTTTACGCTTTCCACTCAGTATAGATGCAGGATCCAGCAAAGAATGTTCCCAAATTGAATTTGCTCCATTGCTGTACAATGTCTGGATCATCTAAACATCAAAAGAGCAAGTGTTGTAGCATTAGGAATGTCGCAAACATAAAAACATACAGTCCTAAAATCTCATCATTTTAAGCTGGATTGGGCAACAATCTCATGTCTTGAAAAACAAGTAGACATGTCCAAATCTGTTCCTATTGTTCCCCACTGAAGGATGGAGAAGACATAATCAGAGACCGCTAGTGATGCTGCCAACCACCTTTCTCCATTGACATTAACAGAGAATGTCTATGGAGCTCTTTGACAGCCTGCATGGACATCATAACATGTCTAAAAAGGAACAGAAATACTTTGCATCCTTAATGACAGGCAGGATCAAGCAGTGAAAACTGTCTCTAGAATATACATTAAAAAAAACAGAGCTGTGCTTCCATGTGTAAAACTCGTTTGTTAAGTAAATAAAAACAGGTATATATATATATACTCACAAGAATAGAATATCAGAATGCCTTAATTTGCCACACTGTCGGTGAAGGGAAGTATTCCCCCCCGACTTGATAACACAGCAGCCTCCAGCCACATCAAACCATCCACCGGCCGCTGTACGCCTGGTTGACGCGTTTCAGGGGCACGCCCCCTTCCTCAGGACCGACACCGGCCAGTGGATGGTTTTATGTGAACCCAGGCTGCTGTGTTATCAAGTCATGGCGGAATACTTCCTTGACCGACAGTGTGGCAAATTAAGGCGTTCTGAAACTCTATTCTTGCGAGTATAGATACCCGTTTTTATTTACTTAATAAACGAGTTTTGCACATGGAGGCGGCGTGCTGATCCCTTGGATGAGCAGCCCCTCGAGTGTATGAAGGTTTGGTACTGCAGGAGGATTGTCTGTGGCTACCATTCAAGCACTGAGAGACAAAAACTTTTTTTATTTGTCTCTAGAATATGGTCATATCTTTAAATAAGGATATACAAATAGCAGAAAAAGTAAATGATTTTTGCAAGGCCACAGAGAGACCACTAAAACTTCTGGACAATTAAAGAAGAACAGAGGCTTTTCCACATAAAAGAAAAAAAAAAGCTGACTTTTTAATGAGACTCTATGTCTCCTCTGTCATAAATGCTCCTCCCTGTTTGTCAGCATTTTTCCTAAGCGTACATTTTTTAATTTGTGCTGGGATGATGTAACTCCCACATATGGGAGTTACATCCTCCCAGCCTAAGGATCAATCTAATGCTCAGACCAGAAAAAGAATCACTGTCAAATGGAAGCTGTAAGCCAACTGGACCACCAACACATGGAGCATTATAACACCAGCAAAAAATTGAGGCATGCTGGGTAGAGGAGGGGTTGTATGGGGGCTGGCCTTTTCTGTTTGCCAGTGTCCAAACCTCCCATAGGCAGCAGCTTACAATTGAACTGCTCCAGAATTCGTGTCCCTCAATAGGTAATAAAGAAAAGCTGTGTACTGTAGCAACCCTTTAGAGCCCATCTCTAGGCAAAACGCACGGCCCTCCCAACCCTCAAGATCTTTCACCCTATTTTTTTTTTTTTATATCTGGTTAGGCATTTTATACTCAATCCGCTGTCCATGTCCCTTGCCAGCACCATTTCTGGTGCAGAGATCGGTAATCCAGCGCTGCAGGTGTGCCCTCGACAACCAGTCCCTCCAGCTGATGTCATCACTCTGGTCCGTCTTCTGGATCCTGAGAGGACTCTGCCCGGGACAGCCAATAGAAATTGTCCACATCAACCAGGTAGATTTTTAATGCCAGTGATTGGAGGAGGTTGAAGGGAGGGATGTGTGCGTGTGTAATGGGGAGGGGGGAGGGGAGCAGACTGGAGAGCAGCTTTAACACAAAGACTAATTACACTCCTACACATCCTAAGCTGCACCATAATGTAAAACTGAAGTACCGATGTTGAATACCAAACCATTACCTGCAGAAGGGTTGGGGGCCATGGGGTGTGCTTAAGATGTCTCACTTGTGAGATGTGCCGTCCCAAGCTTCGATGTACACTGCAGCATTCATCACATATCAAGACACCTCTGTTAATAGATGCCCAGCGAGGATCTACAAAAAAAAAACCCCACAAATAAATTATAAAATACAAATATTTAAAAACACAAAAAAAATACAAAACAAGCAAATAAACTAAACATACATACAACATTATAAAAAGCGTCAGCCCGTACAGATCCGTGCGGGATTGTATTGAGAGGGAAGTGCATTAAAACTTTTCAACAACTGAACAATTTGCCCTTTTTAAATGTATGCTGTTCTGACACGTGCTTAGGACACAGTTCCCTACAGGTAGTAATACCTTCTCTGTGCTAGAGGTTTGTGGCTCCACCTCCGCCAAGGTGTCCTATACTTTCTATACCATGCTTCTCACCCACCCAAGCTACCAGTTTCCCAACATTCGAGGTGTAAATGGAAAGCGGATGTAGGTGCCCTAGAAGGGAAGAAATAGGGTGAAGGAGGCCTGTAAGTTATTTTACCCTAAATTATCTGAGAGTCTTGTCTAATTTTATACTTTACATAGGTCCTGCATGGCGCCTGTACAACTTTCAAGGTACAGATCCAGCCATAACCCTCTGTGTCCAAAGTGAACCAGCGCCTCAGGCACCTTTTTTCATTTACTTTGGCCATGTCCTGTGGTCCATGGATATTGAAAACAGGTGGACAAATTTCTTCATGACAAAATGGTCTCTCCAATGTCTTTGAATCCTAAAAATTGTCCTCTGGGTCTACTGTCAGACTTAATACTGAAAAAAAATCACAACTGTTTTTTCTTCACAAAGAACTTTGTTGCTCGTAAACAATTGCATCTATCCCTGCGACCCAGAAGTCATTGTTGCTCCAAATTAATGCAGTTTTCTCCTAGTTTCTCGGCAGAGCAGAGTTGCCAGTCTCATGAAGTATGTGATTGCTCGCACTAGAGTGGGATGACAAAATGGTGCAGATGGCATGGTGCATCGTCACTGCTGATTCCCAAGGCTGTAGCATGTCAATCAGTACCTGAATTGAGCACTGCCTCTGTTGCTGAAACCCTTCCACAGCTGCAGTGTCTTGGGAGGTGGCTGTCGTGGAGGATTTGGCTCAGTCAGGACAGGCATTTGGTACTTGTTTAGACTGCCATACATACTTCAACAATTTATCAGTAAATTATACAATCAACAACAGAAAATGAATTGTAATCAATAGCATGACATCATTATTAAACAATGAAGAGTCTGTATTCCTCTCTCTGGATAGATAACAGAATAACAAATTTGATTACTGAAAACAAGTTTGAGAATGTAATACTCTTTGTTTTTGTTGAGAGAACTGGAGAAAAGCAGATTTACTTACCTAATCTGCACTCCTGCCAGCACTCTCAGGGCTACTAGACTGGTCCCAGCAGCCCCTTCTCCCCTGTGCCTCAGCCATCTAAGGACCGCTGACATCATCACATTTCATGCAGATTCCATAGACCTACATTATATGTGAGGGTGCCAAGAAACAGTCCACCCGCCAGAGTGGAGAGTAGAAGAGCAGAGTAGGGTTCAGGTAGGTAACTTTACTGCACTTTGGCTATGGCTCTCAAAGTGCTAGTGTTCAGGGGAATTTGAAAGGTAAGACAAGCACAAATTATAGGTATTTGTAATGAATAAAATAACTGGATTGAAGGACAGGCTTTTTTTTTTTACATTTGACTGGATAGGTGTTGATATAAGTATATAAGAATTACCTCTGAAAACGGCAAAGCCTTACAACGACTCATGAAAGCATCAATCACAGAATACAAAGTTGTCCCTTATTTTCCTCTCCAGCAGAGATTAGTGGTTTCTCCCAATGACAAATATGTCACTGTGTCTTGTAGTGACAGAGGTTGCTGGGAGAAACCACAGAGCACAGAGAGGAGGGGGGGGGGGGGGGGGGACAGAAGATCATCAACATTTCTGTGTTGGTTTCTGTAGAGACTTTGGGGGATGTTTTGATCTGCATGGGAGCTGGCTTTAGGGGCATGGGTAAAGGTGCCCATACACTGCACGATTCTCGTACGAGAATCGTGGAAATTCGGCGATCGTACGAGAATCGTGCAGTGTATGGAAGGCGTGCGACCGTTTCTACTGTACGGTCGCACGTCTTCCGTCGAACCAGCATGCTAGAAAACCCGCCGGGAATCGTACGATTCTCGGCGAGTTAGTGGCCTGCTGGTTCAACAACTGCCGAATGGCACACTGCCCGTTTGCAGTCACCGTAAGCCTGCCCCTCATTACAGTCATCGTAAGCCCACCCCTCAGGGGGGCGGGCTTGCGATGATCGCAAGTACGATCTGCCTGTCCAAGATGGGCAGATCGTACGTTTTGTTAAGTACTTTACAACCCTCGCAAGACAAAAGACTTGCGAGGATTGTAAAGTGTATGGGCACCTTAAGTAAGTATTTTGGTTTTGTTTATTCTGTGATTAAATTCTGCAACTGAGTCAGTTTAAAGTATAAGTTCATTTCCTCTTGCATGTCTCTTATAACGATATCTGAAAATAAATAAATGCTGAGTTCGGCGTTTCGGCCGTTCATACGACACCCTTTTCTCACCTTACCTGCAGGATACGGCTATACGACATGCACGGCTATACGATCTTATAATTATTGCTCAGGTTACCTACCTTATAGGGGTCATCAGATTTTGGTTTCTGGGTACTATGTGGATATTCTGGCTCTTGGAACATTCCAAGAGTACAAACGGTATAATTGTATATCATGTATCTTTGTAGGGCTGCAACAACTAATCAACATAATCGATTATAATCGATTGAAAAAGTTGTCAACTTTTTCAATAATCGATTAATCGGCTTCCGATCAGTTGGCCCTGTTCACGGCTCTCCACACGCTGCGCGCCGCACCTCTTCCCCACCTCACGCTCGCCGCTGCCAGACCCGCCCGCCCGCATCCACAACAAACTAGTAGTCCCATCACTGGAGCCATTTTTAATTTTTTTTTATTGTTTATCCGATTAACCGATTAATCGAACTCAATAATCGGCTAACTAATCGATTTTGAAAATAATCGTTAGCTGCAGCTCTATATCTTTGTACTAATGCCTATATTTCGTGTATTCTGCACTTGTCCAGATAATAAACAAATTTAAAGTATAAGTTGCCTATCAAATAAAGGGCACTCGTTTAAGCCCATTTCCTAGATGCATATTTACCATGCAACTGTGCCCAAGGCCTTCAGGTGTGTTTACATCGTGCTGCTGATCTTCCGTTCACCAAACACACCTTCTCAGTAGCTTCCCATAGCAAGACAGGGGATGCTGGGGAGACAGCCCTATAGAATCCTAGGGGAAGCTACTGTGCAGGCCTAGCAGACAGATCGATAACAGGATGTAAACAAACCCTGAAGACTTTGTGTTCTGTGAACAAAATACAAGGCGTCTTGTGAATGGAGAATGGTCATTTTTGACTATAGTAACGAGAAAAAAAAAGGCCCGGGTAAGAAAAATGTTTTGGTTTCTTATCTGACCAAACTTCTAACAGTTAATATGGTCCTCAGTTGGGAACAAATAGAATCTATGTATGGAATAAGAACTTTCATGGTCACAAACATTTGTTTATTTAAAACTATTCATTGTTAATGGCACCCAAATCACGACAATTAAGACGTGCATTTTTACATGCGCAAAAAAAGACCCAGTCAAAAAGTGCACAAAGCGTACAGCTTAAATAGCTGCAAGAGCTTCTTGGCCTAATGTAGGGCAGCCCATTGAAATTAATGGGCTGCTCTACGTGAATGCACAACAAAACCATGCAAAAATAATACGCATATGCACAGGTGTAGCAAGAGTGTATGGGGCCTTATTTTCACCTGGTGATCGTGCCAATAGCACACTTCTTGTCCTAGGGTGACAATGCTTCCTCTTTGTACTGTATCAGATAAACAAAAACATGATAGGACGGCAGGACTCTGCATCTTTACTATTCTTCATAAGGGGTGTGGTTCTGTAGTGCTCAGAGATTGCTGAGAACAATGTAGATGATAACAGTTAGCACAGGAAGTTATCAGCTCATGACTTCAGACAAGATCAGGTATTATTTTGCACCCAAACAGATGTAACAAAAATATTTCTGTGGTATATTTACTTTGCAACAATGTTTATTAATTTTTTTTCCTTAAATTTATAAGAGAACATAATGAAATGCTCATTTCCAACATATAAATAAAACATTAGGATCACTTGTTTGGCAATTAAAAAAAACAAGACTGATACAAACATTCCCACGTTCCCTAATCCATAAGTATACAGTAACTGTAATAGCAAAGAGCGAGTACAATCACATTAACCTTCACTTGTGTGATCCCTACAATATTATGCCCAGGGCTCGTGGAGCCCGGTAGCCAATGATATCTACTATTGAACCCTAATTGTTCCCTACGATTGGGACATACAGAGATACATAGACACAGAGCGTGTGGAAAGCCATGCCCCTGCTCCCTCCACCGCTCTCCTCCCAACAGACTGATCAACAGCAGAAGGAGTCTACCCTCTCCTCCAAAACCAAGAAGTTTGGGGAACGCTGTGTATCTTCCTGGTCCCAGTACAGGTGACAAGGGACAAAAGGTGTGTGTGTGTGTGTGTTTTCTAGTTGCCAATGAAGCTGGCTCCTAAAAATATCTTACTGGCTCCAATATTGGTCAAACTGGTTCCTGATTTCCATAATAAATTGTCCACCTCTGATTATGCCTAGGGATGCACCAATAGCGAGTATTTGGGCGAGTATTCGTACTCGCCCAAATGCTTTGATACCTTCCTCGATACCAGAGCTTCCGGTCAGAGGAAAGTGATCTTAGAAATTATTGTTGGAATAAGATGCTTGTTAACCACAATTACAAAAAGGCAAAGTGTTCAGTAAAAAAGAAATAGGAGAACGAAAAGCAAAGAAGGTCAGAGATCTCCTGTGTCCTTGTCTAATGAAAGTTGGTCACACAGGGAAATTGTATTGTATCCAGGGTTGCCATGTTTGATCAAATATATGTTGTCTGCCATTTAAGATACTTGTTAGTTTGCATTAGGCCAGTTCATTGA